CGAACAACAAGCATGGACCATCGACTCGGATCACCGGCTCTGAGGAAGACGAAGACGTCGAAACGTTAGCCGAAAATAAATATATTTATCAACCTCGTGCAAGCTTATCAAGAAAGAATACATATTGATTTGTCACACCGAGGTTTAGGGAAGGTCGGTTTCGAAAAATTACATAATAATACAATATAAACAGTAAAGTCTCAGCTTAACTTGGTTGAACGCCGATTTGTGCTCACCAGATCAATCCGCTGAGGGGTGATTTCAGATGGCAACGTTGGGTAGAGGACTAGCTCAGAGAATCGCAGAGCAAGGACCTCCGTTGTGCAATGCGTAATGCGCGAGCCTTCGGAAAAGGAAGCCGGGGTTCGATATGATCAGGGGTCCAAGTTTTGCCAATATCTCTACATCGTTGTGGTTGTCATTCAAATCATACTCTCCAGCCAAAAATTATGGTATGCAGGAAATAAAAGGTTAACAGTGAGATAATGTTCGCCATATACAATGACTAGTAAACTTTGCAAGAGATCAGGTTGAAACAAACCATGACGATATGTTGGCGACAGAATAACTGGAACTCGGTTCGAGTTCAACACGTTCGAGAACCATGGCTACTGTAGCAGTGTTCTCAATTTGGGCTTCTAAGAACACGTCACTATTCTGAAAATAAAAACTCAAGAGACTGAGAAATCTAGTTGCACTGTGCTCCTGAACGTATGCTTAGTATAGATAAATTGAGGGTCAAATATACCAGAATATTAAGAACGAACGAAAGAAAACCCACCGAATTGTCCTGGAACCAGAATACTGTCACAGGTACAACGAAATCCGGCAAGCATGCAAGGTATAACGATGAGATAATTACAGTCACAGCACACAAAACATAAAAAAACTAATACAAAAAGCAATAAAGTGGAAAACCAACAAAAGGATTTGAACAGCACGACGGTTATTTTGTGAAAATTGAAAATGATTATCATCACTCTTTTTGTTAATTGCATAATAACGCTCGACTTCCGTCGAGTGTGTTGATCTCTATGGGATTAAAATTAAATCACTGTTACACTTTCATTTTATTTATTATTGTGCATTATGAATAGAAGACAAAAGATGTTCATGCGGAACAAACTAGTTACCTATGCCCCATTCAGGTTCAATAGAATTAGTACCTCCGAATGCTCCAGTTACGCCTATATAGATCGGGAAGTCAACATGAGGAACGACTTAGCTCCAAAAGTGAGCAAGAGGAAGCGAGTGGCTTGAAGGGCTTTCAACAGCATCAAGGATGTAATGAGAACAAAGAACAGCCGACTCCGTAGCCACGTTTTCGACCCAACGATTCCTCCTACCTGAATCTACGCACCAGATACCTGTTCGCTGCGTAAGCAAAATGAGAGATCACTCAGCGTTATTGAACGTGCAGTCGAAAGGACGATGCTAGGAGTGTCCCGTGTCACAGAACTGGGAGAAGGGATCCGAAGCTCCGACCTGCGTCAACGATCAAAAATCAAATATGCCGTTCTGTATGCCAAACAGTCGAAGATAAGGTGGGCTGGACACGTAATGCGTATGAAGGGCAACCGATGGATAAAAGCCGTTAGTGACTGGATTCTCAAGATGTTAAACGCACTGTAGGAAAACCACGGACCACTCGATGGTCAGAGTTTTTCACAAAGGCCCTAGAAGAAAGGTACGATCTCAACGAGTCTCTAGAGCGAGGAGAACCCACTGTACTACTCTTGCACGTGCCAGGGAAAAGTGGAAGATTTACTGGCGCCCACTCGAGTCATTCGACGATAAACGAGACGACAGGTGATATAGGTGATAGACTTTTCCTGAAATGAGCGAGGGGGTTTCGAGGTAACACAGTGCCTTTTCATATGGAGGTTTAATGCGGACCAAAAATAAAAATATGCTTGCACAGAAAATAAGACGGATTCGTAAGTAGGAAAGATATGTGGGGCAATTTGTAGTAAACTCAAAAAACCCTGTAACCCTAGAAATATTATTCCAGGCAACGCAGTTTGATAACCTATCCAAAAAAGTCTATCCACTCGCCAAAAAGCCTAAGTAAAGTGCATCATACCCGAACTGTGAATGTTATTTGTATGTCCACAGGCCCACTCGACATTTCTCACGCATGATAAGAACGAACGATAACTTTACAACCACCTGCTTTAGTCAGCCAATAACGGGACTTGGCTCCAAACGATCCGATACTACACACATTGCGTGGATCCCAAGACCTATTTCATTTCATTTGTTCCCTTCTATCCACATTCAACAAAGGTCTTTAAATTTTGGGTGTGACTTCGGCTGCGGCTTAAAAATTTTTGGTCTTCTTTAGTAATGACATTGAATCCTGTTGAAAACGATTCTCCTCGAAGTCCTGGGAAACAGTGGCTCGAGCGTTCTCACATATTCACTGCAAAAATTCGCTAACTTCTGTCGATTGTTTCCGAACGAGCGTGGTACCAATTTCCCAAACCCGGAGAAGAGGACTTGGTTGGTTCCAAATGAAATCGAACCAGGGCCTTGCACCTGTTGGACAACATCGCTACCACTGCCCTACTTGAACCCTAATAACCGTATTAAACGTTAGGTAATACTTCGTCCCCAATCCAGAAAGGTTAGAGTAAAAATCAGTTCAAACGGAAATACACAACAGAAAACACACCATATAAATCGAGCCATGGAAATAAGATGTGTGGAGAAACTGAAGCAAGAATGCTTACCTCAGCGTTATAGAACTTTGTCTTCACGTCAAAAGGCTTCCCCACCGGAAACTTGAAGAACTTCCGAAAGTACATTTTCTCATCGGATAATGTTTTATAGTTAACAGAGCAAATTAAACTGAAACACAGATAATAATAAACGGATTTTCGCATATACTATATCCGCCCATATGACACATCCTTGCTGGATTTCATATTTAAAGGGTCAAGTAACAGCTGAAAAACTATGAACTTTGAAAGCACCAGACCCACATATGTTGGCCAATTTCCTTTACTTCATGACTGATAACCTGACCCGAACACGTTCTGGCTTCCAATACTGCATCGTGAATGTTGGACGGTAATGTCACCCTTTGACTGTTCGTTTGTAAATCACACTGAAATAGTGGAGCATGTCTTAAAACAGTGTTCATTACTTCATCATTCATCAATCCACCAAAGTGAGACAATTGTGGAGAAACACCATAATTTCGCCCACCTTCACTGATACGTCGGTTACTTTTTGATCACTTTCATTGACACAATTAACGTAAAAGGTGAACGTCTCACCAAGGTATATATTTCTGCAAAATTTTATTATAGAAAGCAGAAAACAGATTAACTGACAAAGCAAGCACATTCCTAACATATCACGAGATAATGAATCATATACTATATATATTCTCTCCAACCATTTTTTTCCAACAACTCTTTGTTTTACTCCCCACAACACTTGCAGTGATTCTAGGCAAGTTGAAATGGCCCTCGAAGTAAAAAACCCACATTATTTTGGGCCAAGAAAGTTAGAAAGAGTTCAAAATTGGATGCATTTCCGTGGAAACAAGTCTAAATCTCATCGGAACATAGGATTAGGGATCCAACTTTGAGCGTACAATGTGTAGATGGTTGAAAAATCTTTCGTCGAAGGCACAAATTCTTGATGACTAGGAGAGTTAACGATGCGCGTTATGAATAAACGGGGATCATTAGAAGGCAATAGTAGAAACTGACCCTCTGAAAACCCATTAACAATTCCCGGTTATTTCAAAAGAAGAAAAAACTCAATATATGGTCGCAGTATATCAAAACGGCGCGTGTAGCGCAGTGGTTGAAGGCCCACTGAAATACACTTGGGATCGATTTCGGCGACCCTGGCCCACCAAGCCTTCCATCTGTTTGGGAGGATAACAGCACTGGACCGATACATCGGTAGACCACCGCGAGTCATTGTTTAGGTCAGATATGCATTCAAACACCTCCAGCGGTGCTTAATGATGGTGTATCCCTCAGAGATTGATCGACGCCGAGAACCTCATCCTTTATTTTATGGCTGCCAAACGAACTGAACTGCAGCAAAGAGATTATTACGAATTCTATTTCGCACCTCATTTGTGCACTGAAAACGAACCTTTCCCTGCCCTCCGTGACGTGCACGAGGAGTGGATCCTACCCCACAAAATTCAGTGAAGTGGTTTGGCTGAAGAGGATTTCTGTCTATACCCGCTATTTCCTTGAATTCAAATCAAACGATAATATGTATACTGTCATGAACTAGACAGAATATACTAATCACTAGGGCATATGAAAGTGACGTATAAAAAGGAAATCTTTTAAACGTTGAGAGACAAACACACATCGCACAATCAACTTTGTAGAAGTAGGAAGTGGAGAAATGGACTACAAAACTCTTTCCGTTCAGCATTCTCATCGGACCGTTACTCCCCAAATGAACATAATTTCTCAACAAACACATCCAAAAAAAAATAATAATAAAAAAGAGTTGATTGTGAAATGACTTCGTACAACTCGTATGAAGTGCTGAGATATTTGCAAAACTCCGGACCACAGGTGTATGCAGTGGGGAACGAACACGTGCTGTTGTCCGTACCGGGGACCCGGATGGTGTAGTGGTGAAGTGCGCTGCTCCCCGGTAAGGACAACAGCGCGTGTTCGTTCCCCATTGCACACACCTGTGGTCCGGAGTTTTGCAAATATCTCAGCGGTGCCACTGCACCACATGCGTTCTTGGAGTAGAACTGTTGAATGGATAGTATTCGAATTTATGAATGTCAATCGCGCAAACTCGGATATTCGGCTATTCTGTGTATTTTCTAAAGAAGCACATATTTTCTAAGATGTACCTGGAATGGTACTTGAAAACACGCAGAGGTTCCTGAGTCTTGAAACTGTTCCCTGGTTTTGTCGCTCTTAATAAATTGAAGACAAGTTGACGGTGGTTTGCGTGAAACTTAAGCTTTCGGTTTCATTTTGAAGTCATACAATTAGCTGACCAGAAAAGATGTATGTGATTACGAACTACTTATAAAATGGTGAAATGCACCCATAACTCAGCGGCGATAAGGAGAATGTTGTGGTAACATCAACCTTTTGTGGCCTTGTCGGGATTACAAAAAAGTGATCGATGCCGAGCTTAACGGAAATCCGATTGTGAGAACCATTCATTGTCTTCAGGATGATACAATGAATACCTGGCACCGAAAACGGAGGCCGTCACATCCATCAAGGACTGCCTGCTTGTTCAAGGAAAACCCGAATAAGTCGCGTTTACTGCAACGGTAAGTGGTAAGCCAAGCCTTGGCTTAACTGGGTCTCAACATTCAATCATTATTCAATAAAAGCTTTTGTTTGTAGTAGTAGCTAAAATTCCATTGAAACCTTTAAAACTTCTTCTACGAGCGCTATTTTATGGAATTCACCAAAGAATGTTTTTTGCTATCCTTTTATGGTGGTAAATTGGGTATACACACACGTATGTATATTTGAATGAACAAAAGTAGATGTTCCTGTACATGTGTGGAGTGTATCCCGCTCGTCCATGAGATCAAAATCCTGGGAGCAAATAACGAGGAAAATCTGCTCTGGCACCTAGTCGTGAGTATACCCCAATTTTAGAGGCCGAACCCGACAAGATACTCATATTTAGCACCTTGCTGAAGGCAGTTGAGTTCTGAAAGGTTTCATACAGAAAGATCGATATTCTTTGTGTTCCTTGGGCAAATAAATGAAGCTTATTGAATTGCCGTGACGCACAGCAAGGACAACTAAAGTATTTATTGCTGCCTATTTAGTAACTAATTTATTAACAGAATAATAAGGAATCCAGTTCACTATCAGGACATGCTTCAGTTTTTGCAAACACATGTTGAACGTTTTTGAGTATCTGTGCCGAAAAAACGCATACATTTATCTTTTTAACCCTTTTGTTTGCTGCCTTTTTCTTTTTAATGGCAGGGCATGTTGCAAATATATATATATATATATAATATAATATACAAATATCTCAGCATTATATACGAGTTATATTTCGCAACATACCCTGCCATTAAAAAGAAAAAGGCAGTAAACAAAAGGGTTAAGATTGTGATTATAACTAAGCCTCAGCTTAACTGGGTTCAATGCCGATTTGGGCTTCCCAGATCAACCCCGTTGACGGGTGATTGCTGATGGCAAAAGAACAATAGTACCAGCTGAGAGACAGGCAAAACGAAGGACCCGGATGGTGTAGTGGTTAAGTGTGCTGCTCCCCGGTAACGACAACAGCGCGTGTTCGTTCCCCACTGCATACACATGTGGTCCGGAGTTTTGCAAATATCTCAGCACTTCATACGAGTTATATTTCACAACATACCCTGCCATTAAGAAGAAAAAGGCAGTAAATAAAAGAGCTAAGATTGTGACTTCGTACAATTCGTCGTTTCCAAAACTTAGAATTTCACGATCAAGAACAAGTTTGCATCTTACTTACTTGGATAACTGGACGGCCCGCCCTCACTGGTTGTGCAAGCCCCGGCATAATTTCCACTTTTTTGGAGTTTTCTGGTTTAGCCAGTGTGCTTGTCTGGAATCCCGAGCTCAGCCTAGCTAAAGGCTGTCCCAGGTCGTCTCCACCGAAGGCAGTCGCCGACCTCGTCTATTAGAGGGAGAATTACCTTTATGTGACTAGTTTGATATCAGGACGGTGGTGGATCCTGATGTTGGTTTACTCCCAGCTGAGCTTCATGATGGAAACACCAGACTCCTTCTTAGCTTGGGAAGCCGTGCCCATGGGACCAATGCCCCTGCTGTAAATCGCAGCCCGACATCCAGGAACACCTTCCAGCCACGATGAGGCGGTAAACCAGATAGGAAGAGCTGCAGCTTGTACCTTAACTTACACGTCCAGCGGATCGTATTTTCAATAACCAGAGTTTGTCAGAGTTCACATATGATATCCCCAGATTTCGGATCAAAATCGTCCATTTTTTTCCAATGCCCAACGCGTGAAATTCCACCATCAAAATTATTGGTTGTAATATGCTGTTTCTCTATAAACTACTCCTATGGAAACATTAGAGGTTTTAAACTCTTACTCCCACAACCTTCGTTCTGTGTAAACGTCGACTGTAAAAAATTACTTTAAAATTTATAAATCGTGATGTTTCAAGTTTACACCTATCATCTGGAGTTATTAATGACTATATTACTCCAATGCCACCGAACAGCGAATATGCCTGTTTCTTTCTTGTCCTTGCTGTACACGACTAAACAAAAAGGTAATCTTGGACTAAGCTCAGATCTTCTTCTCGATAACACAAAAAAGTTTCAAAGATATGCCACACATACTTGATTAAAAGACATTGTAGGTGGTCGAGAATAAACCGCTAATATTGGCCGATTTTTACCGCAGATTGGGAAGTTGTGCAAAACTACTAAGAATCACATTTCATCACTTGTCTTTGACCTTGCCATCTTCGTCGTTATCATCGGATCCACTTATTTTTCACCAACAACAATCACAAGAAATTCAACATCGTCCCATCTTCGTTCTTTTTTTGCTCATTTTAGGTGAAAAGTTCTGTCGAACAAATTCATTCTATTTCCTGATGATGTGATAAAAGCTAATCAGTTCTTGACCAACATTACTGGTCAGTAATGAGAAACGCAGAGCTTTACTAAAACTTAAGTGAAGACATTGTGGGGGATTACGGGTAGATGACAGCATCAACAACACTAACATTAAGGTAGGTGATACAAATAGCATTAATTTCGAAACTGGCTATGGGAAAAGTGAATAAAAACTCTCGGCGTTGATCAATCCGAGGGATGTGCACGATGCATTCGACTTCAAAAATCGTTGGAGCTAATTGAATGCATATCTGGGCTTTACGATGGCTGACGGTGGTCTGCCGATCTATTGAGCCAGTGCTGCTATCCTTCTAGACAAGTATGATAACAACTTCTCGAACGCGGAGAGATGGAAGGTTTAGTGAACCTGGACACGGGAATCGATCCCACTTGTATTGCAGAGCCCTCCGACCACTGCGCTACATGCACTTAGAAGGAGTAAACAGACAATAATAATCTTAAAAGATAGCAAGTCCTCTACACATAGCCTGAAAGTTGCCATACAGATTATAATCTACACCTACGTATACCTACAGCCTGGATTTGTGAAACCGTTCTCTGTTGGGACTAATCCCAGGAGCCACTGTCGTCACAGAAATTGCTGTCGTGATGGAGAAAACACACTGATTATACACCGATCCAGAAAAGCCAACAACTGCTTGTGGGAAAAACTCCAGCACAGCTATCTTGAGATTCCAGGGAAAATCACGACCACTATGTAAATAAGAGAAGATAACAAACCCACAAGCAGAGCAGCACTGGAAACAGTACCCGAACCCAGTCGTGAATAGCGATTGCATGAAACAAAACCACTGAAGAATGCGCCAAAACACAATCAACACAATTGTTACCTAATTACCCAAATATGTACACTCTACAAAAGCTTACTAAAGCCCGACAGAACGATATCTAGAATGGTGGTTAAGTAAATTCCATCATATACAACACACTAAAACGTCCCAAAATATGGAATTGGTGACGAAACGACATATTAAGAGATATATGAGAAACCTAAACCAGACAGCGAAAAACATTTGGGACAAGCTCATATTTGTGCGAGGACTTCGCACTGTATGCATCATATATGACTCATACTGCACAGGAAAACAACAGAACTAGTCCAACGCGGAAATCATCGAAAGTTTGGCCTGTTACTGAATCTGTTGAGTGAGCAAATCGTAAAAAAATAGCTAGAAACTCCAACTACGTTTGAATCCATGAGGTTAAAAGAAAACGGATCAACGAATAAAAAGTATACTTACTCGAACATTTGTGGTGCCATCAAATATTCACCGATAGGTACGTCGTGCCTCTTCTCTCCGTCACGTTTGCAAAGTGCAGCTTCAATCTTTCGAGGAAACCCTGTTGGATCGACAGGATCCATAGGGAACGACGAGATCTCAGAAAACTTCGGTCGTGCAAGTCGCATAACTAGGTAATTTTCAGATATGGAACTCAAATCTAATATCCCCAAAGGTTAGAAGAGAACTAAGCATCTAGAGTGCTGAACCCCACACATACATGAACTCTTGACTCGGCCAACAAATCTGAACTAAAGAAACTTGTTTTCCCAACAATAGTGAATACAAGCACTGCTAAATAAACATGTACCCACTAACCCTGCACGAAAAACGGAACTACCATACCTCCACGAACACTACGTACAAGACCAAATTACACAAAGTGGTTACTTAGTGAGAAAAGGTAACTTAACTCTCACCTTTCAGAGCGACCAACTGAGCAGCTTGGGGACCTTCACCCATCGCTAGAAAACCCTAGAGAATCATAACGACTAGGGCATCATTACCAATATTTCCATATACAGGGCGGCTGATTAACCATAGTAACCACATATTTGTAATCTTCGCCTTTAAACTTTATTTCAAACATGACATCATTTTGACAGCTCAGACAAGCGGTCAACGCAAAAATTACCAAAGGAACCCTCTAAAACGCTAATATCAGAGCCCCCATGTTTTCGTCAACGACTGCGCCATGGCATGGAAGAGCTAATTATTAGCCGACTTTTCATGCTGTAAAAATTTTTATACAGAACAAGAACCAACGAAAAAAACAACGCTGAAAACATATGGGAGTAAGGTAGAAGCATTACAACGGATGGACGAAAATTATAAACGGTACGACGGCTCGTCTCCCAAGACATGAATGCGAGTGGTACAAAATAAATGACGACTATTTGTTTTAGATTTCACGATCTTAATAGGCCATCGAAGCCGAATCGAATTAAGCCTTTTCTTCAGCCTTAACCTCGTTCTTGGAAGCTTCATCAAAGTCTCCTACGAGATCTGAAACAACGCATTTAGCACTTTCTAGTGTGAAACACCACTCTCAAGTCGTTTGTTTGCTCACAAGTAATACATCCAATTTAGCGCGAGGTCAAGATATGCGTGCTTTAGCAACAGGAAGAAATATGATTAAGGTTCAGTACCCGACAAGCTACAAAAAACACATTTCCAATGGACATACGTAAACCTGGGACAAAAACAGCTCCACAAAACTAGAACCAAAAATAGGATTGAGACCCATACCTGGAACATCATCATCATTGGATGCAGGTTTGAATTGACTTGTAACATTGTTAGCAAGCTTCTTAAGATGAGTAAGAGACTCGGGCCCGAGCTGGTTAAGAATACCGGGCAACATGTCAGTGATTTCTAAAAAGTGCATACTAGGAGCATGTTTCGTGAGTCGAATACTACTCATAATGGAACAGACGTTTGTTTTCCCCAGCCCCAGTGATCGAGAACGTATTGGCCGGGACAGAAGCTTGTACTTTCGGATTGTTGAAATGGATGACTGTCCCATCGTCTTTAATCATGTTCACCTATAAATTTGGCTCTAAATTTTAAGCTACAGGAAAATCAAAGGATTAAAGAATACTCGCACCTCTTCTATTCCAGGAATATTCGTTACTGAAAGCTTTTTCAAATTGCTTTGTACCTTCTTGTCATCGGCGGCAGCAGTTTTGAATACGATTTTCTTTTTTCTTCTAGGAGTACCCTACAAAGAACAGACGATTACGCAAAGCCCTGGGAGCAGGCTAAACACCTTCAGCACGGGTTTCGCCTGGGTCTCAGTAGGAAAAAAGGAATAAAAGATCCCAATACCGGACTGATCAAGCATAGCGAAATCAACATATGAACGAAAACACCTTGCCACCGAGCTGAACATTCTCGGCGTTTGCTTGCAGCTTCTTTATCTTCTCAACCATAGTCTTTCTATCCATGCTTTCCACCTCGGAGTTTTCCTTCTGAAACTGGATACGATCAACACGGAATCCGATGAAGCAACATGTTTGGAACGCAACAAGGAATAAACGTTGGTTCATCACAGGGTCATCAGTAACCCCGACTCAGAGGACAGCATAGTTTACAACTCCTTGCTCTATGAAATCAAAAGTCTCCCGTATTCCTAACGAAATCGACGAAGAACTGAAGCAGAAAGAAACCAACCTACAGGTAAACAACAGAACGTCGAGGAGGCCGGACTGAAATTCCGACTGCGTAGCAGTCCGCGTGATGTTATAGGTTGCGGGCAACCTCGCAGTGGCGGCGGTCCAACAACTGACGTCACTGATATTCTGAATCACTTGCGGTCATTTCGCTGCTTCTAGCGCTTCATGCTCTGTCGTGGTCACTGGTAGGACAACTTGAGAGCCCAGTTCGTTTTGTATTGTCGCTTCCCGGCAGCTACAGGCACATGCCGGACAATCTCTTCCGCTCAAGCTTATATCTCGTGAATCCTGTGAATGTTGACATAACAGCTGTGAAGGGGCTTCCTAAATGTTTTTTCGCTATATTGCAATCACCTGGCTACCATATATTCTTCTTTCGTTTGCACACATATACGCTGATTCAAGTCTATATTGTCGATGGTGTGAATGAATTGGTGTTGCAGATGAGTTTATTCGGCAAAATATTCGGAGGAAAGAAACAAGAAGCCGCTCCGTCCACTCAGGATGCGATCCAGAAATTGCGCGAAACAGAAGAGATGTTAATCAAAAAGCAGGACTTTCTGGAAAAGAAAATAAAGGATGTGAGTTTGGACAGAGGTCGTTTCTGCGTAGGTGGTTGTTTTGTTTGTTTATGACTAGAGAGGTCAATAAGTGAGAAGAGCTCTGGGCAAATGTCGCCCCTACTACTTCTTCAGTAGGTCTACCTCACTTTGTTGACGATCGGCAAGGGAAACCCGATGTATGGAAGAAGTTACGTCGATGACCTAGAAAGTAAGTCGATATTTGCGGTATTTTCTTCGTTCCTAATGCCGAATGCTTAGTGAATTCGTCTTGCAGAAGGAGAACACAGTTCATATTACTAACTTTAGTTGCTGATATCTCCAATAGGTTAATAACACGGCTGAGAGAAAGACGAAACGAACGGCTCGTATAGCTCCAACATCATAGCAACTGTAGGGTGCAATGTAGGTGAACGTATTAGGAGTAGATTTGTGCTCCAGATTAATCGCGTTGACGAATGATTGCTGATAGCATTTATAGCTCAGTAACATGGCTGAGAGAAAGGCCAAACAAAGAGGGTAATAAAGTGTTCGGTCCCCGCCAGAGATGCCAGTGGTCGGTAGTTTTGCGAATATCTCAGCATCGTTAGGAGTAGAATTTGACAACTTTGTATCTACTTTGCGATTACTACAGAACAATACAGATTGGATAAAAGATGGGTTTTGCACTGTGTAACCGCAGTTGAAAGGTAGCTATATTAGGGCTTTCATATGTTGTTACAACAGCTAGTTTTCCATTTTAAACTTTAGAAAGGATTGCACTTATGACTAAGTTGCTGTCAAGACGGCAGTGTTTCTTGGCACTGGTTTTGTTATAGCTTTACACCCGGATGAAATAACCGGACTCCAGATAGCGGTACACCGCGATGTGAGAATGATTCCAAGTTTTACATGTTCACGATCCGGCACCACCCCTTAGCTACAACGGTTTTGGAAAGGTTGACTCTGTCGTGACTGTTTCATTATGCTTATTCCCGTATATGGACTAGCCTCACTCAGCTCACTTCCATGTTCATTCCTCCTTTCCATGCACAACATTTTCTAAACGGACTTACTAAAGATTCATCTTCCATGTTGAGTTTAGACGCCATTTTTCGGTTACTGGTAATGTGTTGCAGATTGATTTGTCTTAGATCGTATTAGATTTTAAAAAGTTTGACGAATATAATTAAATTGAGCGACTGGTTCTACAAATTTGATTTGTCCAAAGTGCTCATATGTAGCTGAAAAGAAAAATGGGTAGTCGTGCGGTTTTCAACTGAGAAACCGGACATGGTATCTCATTATTTTCTCTACATCATCAGTCTTCACACTGGTATAATTCGAGAGTTTAGGAAGTTGCAACAGCGGTTAAACACGGAACGAAAAATAAGCGCCTTGCTCTCCATGCTCTTGGTAGGAAGAAACAATTTGAAAAACAACTTAATCATATCGACGGAGTTCTACAAACTATTGAATTTCAGGTATGTGTCAGCTGTGTGCTATGAAATTTTCCATTTGTCGTAATGATGTAGATGCGTAATCCTTCCCTTTCCTTATGATTCCGTCGTGTTTTTCCAGTTAATAAAACGTTATCTTGTCACGATTCTTCTTAACAGAACGCTAAAATTTCAATATTTGTTTAAGAGAGAGGCACTAGAAAACGCTTCTACCAATGCCGAGGTCCTTCAAGTCATGGGTAGTGCTAGTAAGGCGTTGAAGGCAGCTCACAATAACATGGATATTGATCAGGTTTCCTTTTTTCGACTGCTTCTTCACTAACTCGTTTACGCTTTCGCATCGATTTCGCATGGAAAAATTTCGTGTCATACTACTCATTTTTACATAGACCGTTGTAGGTCCATGATCTCATGGAAGACATAGCCGAACAGCAGGATGTTGCAAATGAAATAGCAGAGGCAATTTCGAATCCCGTCGGATTTGATAGAGCAGTTGATGACGAGGAACTTCTTAGAGAACTTGAACAACTGGAACAGGTCTGTGGCTACTGCAATTTTTCGAAATTTTCTTGCTTCTATTTTTCCTAGTCGGGTGGATAATTAATGTGCATTGGCGTTTCTTACTCGTAAAATGGGGATTATCTTATCGTTATTTCAGGAGGAGCTAGATAAGCAATTGTTGGACGTACAGCCAACACCGGTAGTTTTGCCCGATGCACCCTCTACAAACCTTCCAGCTGCGACCCGTGCCAAACCCGCCAAAGCAGACCATGACAAGGATCTTGAAGATCTTGAGATGTGGGCGAATGCGTAATAAGCAGTAACTTCTCCCCAATTTAAATATTTCTTTTTGATGCTTATATCATTAAATGCAACATTTCTTGTGTTTTTAAAAATCACTTGCTTTCATTAATTATTATCCAGTGCACGTCTTCTCAGTACATTTTTAGATCACTAAGTTGTGGATGATTGTGGACATCCATTGTATATTGCATCTCCACCATTCTTCCTTCGCTATGTTTTCGAATAACTCACGTTCCACTGTTTTATTGTAGCAAGAACATAGGGTTCGAGTTCATTTTCATGGCGCGGCACTAAATTTGTACTAGTTGTCAAACTCAGAAGTCTCTACCGATAGAACAAGGTTTATTTGAAGCATGTCATGTTCAGCTTCATAACCATATTTTAAGTGGGAACTTCTACAAAGATGAAACTTATAGCATTATACATAAAACGTATGTGAGCAAGGGTAATTCATCTACGGTGTAACTGAAAACGCACTCGAGAATTCTAGTGTGTTGAGTCTAAAAGATGAGTGCGGATTTTTGGGCCTCTTATTTGGTCGGTTTTTTGAGAGGCCCGAGTACGACTCAAGTTGTTCTCCTTCTTCTATCTATTCGTCTTCATGTTGCTCCCTATATCCATTGAGCGCCAAATATGTTTCTGTTAATTTGCGAGAACTGCATGTAATATATGGGCGCATGTAGCGCAGTTGTCGGAGGCGCCGTGCAATACACACGGGATCGATTCCCACAACCCAGGCTCACCAAGCCCTTCGTTCCTTCAGCAACTTGATACCAGACTTGTTTGGGATGATAGCAGCACTGACTCGATACATCTGTAGGACACCACGAGTCATTGCAGAGGCCAGATATGCATTGAGTCACCTTCAACGATGCTTAGTGAAGTCGAATGCATGGCGCATCCCTCATAGATTGATTAACACCGAGATCTTCTTAGCTTTTAATAGTTTCTATTCCAATTAATAAGGAATGGAATATCATAGCATACAATGCATATCGTGTTAAATATGGAAGCCTCAGCTTGTGCATTGACGTTTCCACAGAACTCTCATTTTTCTTGTCAATTCCAATAACCAGAACACATGACTGACCTCAGTGGACTACTACGGTCACCTGCAGATAGTGGAAGAGTGCCAACTACGACGAAAGTAACGATAACCCAAGCACGTATTATAAATAGGGCATACGGAACAACAAGAAATACTTGTGAAACATACCAATTAGATCCGACAGTCGATGTCGCTTTTTAACAAAATTTCCCGATGCATAAATGCCATCTATACAATGATAAACCTACCAATAAAAAACGAAATTAAACATATTTAAAGACTGCACGCATTTAAATGATATTGAACACAGGTTCTCAAAAAAGAAAAAAACATGCAAATGGATACACATCAGTTCCAGAAGTAATAAAAAAATGAAATACAACACTTGGTGCTTGCTCAACAAAAATATAAAGAACTATTTGATCAATGCCGAGGTTAATAGAAAGTCGGTCGTGCGAGTTGTAGAAGAGATGAGACAAAGAATATAAGATAATACTTACAGTGACATGTGGTACACAGCGGAGGAACACGATAAAGTCATGTATCGCAAACGATCACACTACAAAGCAAGGAAGGTAGCACTCCTGAGCTCCGGGGTCGATCCGGGAACTACAACCAGTGGTGGTCACTGAGCACAGTGGATATTGTAAAGTTATCACTACATGGCAGAGATCATTACAATCGAATCCAGAGATTAGGATGATAAAAAAATGGGTGAATACGGTCCGTGATAAATCGGCAGATTTTGGATTCCCGAAGTGTGATGTTAGTGAGAGAATCCACACCATTTTCGTAATCCCGCATAGAATATGTTCACGGTGGAATTCACTTGAACATTTTTGAATATGTTTTTTTCTTGCTTTCTGCAAACTCCATCCGTTTTCGTGTTAAAATCGCCATCTCAGATTTCACTAAAGACTCAGTGTTGGGCAATAAGGCTAATCTCTTCAAATCCTGCTCAGCCTGAAGATGACAGATGAGACGAAAATGAGGCGAATATTTAATAGAAAACGAAACGATAACCAATAGATGACTTGTAATTTTGTTCCATACTTTGAACCTTAGCAAAATGAAAGAAAAGCTTAGAAATAGGAACTCCAAAAACCTCGTCCAGCAGCCAGCATCCAATGCGAGCTTTTGCCCTTCGATAGAGTGCCTTTTCGTTGTTAGGGTCTCGGGACAATACCTGTATAGCTATCGCAATTTAACTGGAATCAATTTTTGTTTGATATTGTAAAGGTAAAGCAGAAACCATCCGGAATTCCATATATTTTACGATGAGAATAAGGAAACCAGCCCACCTCGGAAGCTGTCTCAGCGGCCTCGTACATATTACCGACATTTAGGTAGCACTGGGAAAGGTTTGAATACAAAGAAACATTCTGAAAATGTCATATATACTGGAAATAAAAGGAATCCTTGTCTCAGAAGTACTAAAAGAAACAAAAAGAACGCAATAATTTAAGGCAGATTGGTCTATATCCGCAAAAAAAAACTTTCAATCTACGACTAAGTTTGTTTTAAACCATAGCATTTTCTCTTTAGATTTCCTAAGCATCTGTTAGCATTCACCATTAATTTGTAAGATGTTTACACCGAAAGATATCGATTTATAACTCCACGTATGAATTGTCAGTGAGTTTAAGAATGGATTTCTGTGCTCTCTAGTATTAATAAAAGATAAAGGATAAAGCTCTAGGCGTTGATCTATCCCTGAAGATTTTAATCACAATAGATTCGACTTCAATAGGCATCATTGGAGATGACCGAATGCATATCTGGCCTTTACAATAACTCGCGGTCGCCTAGATATGTACCGAACCACTGCTGCTATACTCCTAGATAAGTCCGGTACCAATTTGCAAGCCCGGTGGGATGGAGGGCTTGGTGGGCCTGGGCGAAGAGATAGATCCCATAAGTATTGCGGGCCGCCTACGACCACTGCTAAACGCGCTCTCTAGTGTTATAACTGTCATTTTTCCTGTGTAATTAGTGAAAAGAACTTTGCTCTAAAATTTGTCTTCATAGCTATGTCTTCATGGGGTTCTTCAGTTTTTATATTATAACTTCTTTCGACAACTGTTGTCAAACTAATAAACTGGATCAACACGATAACAGGATAATTCTTAAGTAGAATATTCCATATTACGAACATAAAACTCGCTTTTCGGTCCAGCTCCAACCATTCTGGTTCTCCTGGTTTTTCCCGAAGAATAAGAGTGTCAAGACGTCCCAACGCTTCTCGATATTTATCAATGGCCCCTTCGAAATTTTTCTGGAAAAATACTCCTGGAAAAAAAGAAAAAAAGAGAAAAAAAAGAATTTTTCCGGAAAAAGAAATACTTTTCGCACAACAAAGAATCAGTAATAGCATTAAGTGCATTGGATATTGGATAAAAAAAAAGTGCTGAAACAAATAACCAGATGTCAAAATAAAAAAAATCCTTAGGACAGGAGGGTGAACTCGCACTAAAATCAACCTAAACGTACTCAAGAAATAGTCACCAATAAACAAGGATATCACTTGCCAACAGTTAAAACTAACACTTTCATTACTTTTAAACCGAAACAACTAAGATAGATAAAGAGCAGATAAGAACTATGGCATTAATCTCAGCTATAAGGCTATCCTACAGATCTTCCTCGTAAAGGAATCTCATGCCGGTTAGTCTCGAGGAAAGAAGGAGCGTTTTCAGGTGGAGGACAGGGGATTGATGGCAAAACGAAAGCGATGTCATCCTTCCCTGAGACACAGGTGGATCAAAAGGATGGACTGTAGAGAACATTCTTTATAGATAAGGAATGATCTCTACCTCTATATTATTCCTCTACGGGCTGTTCTCTATCGAGCATGAATTTTTTCGCACTACTTAGGCGTCTTCAATGGGCAAAGTTCTCTGCAAAAGCTCGCTTTGAGAGCCTCCCACAAAACGTTTTTTCTGATGTAAGGATTCACTGCTACCGTACTATCCTTCGAATTGGCCGCATCCGGTTGTAATACCTAAGAATGAGTTCTGTTACCTGCTTTTCAAATCTCTGTTGCTATCTCTACAACAACTCTAGACAAACTCCGCCTATTATAGTACGAATATGAGCACCACCCCGTTTAACTGGAGGAGTCCTTTCTACGCTCTCTGCTAGTTCTTTCTACTAGTGCTCTTACAGTATCTTTCTTAGTTGCTGCGGCGTTGAGCCCACAACTTTATATGAATACCAAGTCGCTGGGAATATTAGCCCTTGTAAATGCCACGCGGGACTTTTGTGTGTTCGTCGTCGAGTTGAACGCTTTGAGATACTGGATTACACCTTCATGATTATAGAAGCAATAACAACAGCAACAGTAGAATGAAGTATATGGTCGAGTTGAGCGACATGAACGAACTGGATGACCACTGAACGAACACTGCGAACACTCGAAGACGAAATGCTGACGGGCTGCTTGTACTACTTCGGTAGTCGGTAGAGCTTTGCCACAAGGACCTAGAGACAGGGCCTAGAGAAAGCTTCTAAAGGTTTGTTCTACTACTACCTGATAGGGCTACATGCGAAAGGGCGCAGCTGCTCGTTCGAACTTCTTTTGGACGGCAGATGCTGCAAAGTACATTCAGCTGACTGCTTCCCTTTCCAGCCATCTTCCAGGCAACTGCATGAAATGGTCGTCAAGAAACAATTTAGAGAAGAAGCAAAAATAGGTTTAAGATAGTTACGGGTGAACAGGAAACAAACACTAATACAGAAAATAGGAGCTATTTGGATAATAGTTCCTATATTAGTATTGACGCCTGTGTTCTTCACCTATCTCTATATGTTCACACCGTTAATACTGCATTGATATTTTTGTCATAAACGGATATAATACAAGCGTGAAACTGTGTTCTGCGAAAAAATATGGAAAGTAGCGCGTAGCATGTTCATAAAAACGCGAGGCAATGCGAGCTGGCTGCTTTTACAACACCCTATTCAAACCATATTTCTATACTGTGAACGCCACCCGTACCAATTTAGTACACCTTCTGTGTTTATGCGGGCGTAATCATGCACGCATGCGTGGCCGAGCCCTCTTTTCTATTGATTCTATTCTACGAGTCAATTCGGGCAAAAGCCTGCGATAAAGCAACAGAGACCGTTGGGAAGAACGAGTATGGATAGGCGGCTAAAATCCCACAGATATTCTAGGTTGCGTACACCGCAAAGGACTAAGGTGATGATCTGCATCTATAATGTACTCTCACTTGCATCCGAGTCCTCGATAGAAGAGTTGCTCATACAAGCAAGAAGGACAAGATACGACGTCATCAGGCAAGCCGAGATGAGACAACGCCACCCATTCAACGGCGTCTATGACACCAGAGAAGAACTGTTTCTCGGAACATGCGACAGCAGAGGAGTCGGCGGAAACGGCGTTCTCGTCAACACGAGTTTGTCCATTTACGATGAAGAAGACGTGGATCAATTCCGGCTTTGACAATCTTCGCCGTTTACGCGCCGACATCAAACTATGACGAAGAAGAAGTCGAAGCGTTTTATATGGACTTGGAGAAGTTCTACAAACAAGACCATACATCCTTCAAGGTCATCACTGGAGATTTCAACGCCAGGAATGGACCAAGAAGAACGTCCGAAGAACGTCACATTAGGACCCACGGATTAGAATGGAAGCAGAAGAGTGAGCGACTGTCAGAGTTTATCATGACAACCAAGACTATTCATGGTAACTAACAATTCCAGAAGCTTTACGCTCAATGCTGAACGTGGGAATCTCACAATGGAGAGTACCATAACGAAGAATCCTACACAGCACCATATCAATGTCTCCGAACAAGACTACATTTCTTCATGAAAAGGGAGAAAGCCATTAAAATAAAAAACGAAGTCCCAAAACCTCTACAAACTGGTTTTCATAAATTCATTAATCGGATGTTGGAAAGATGACGCTCTTGATAACATCGACGAGGAGCATGATCGACTCATTTAACATCTTCACGCTAACGTTGTCAAAACTGAGAGTTCGAAAGTCACCAAGAGACTATGTCTCCGGAAATACTCGAGCTGTTACGCTAGCGCGGAATCGCACGAGGTGGAGGCAACCGCCAGCGCACGTCCGAACTGGCAAAACAATGCAGACAAGCGATAAAAGAAGATCTTATAGAGAGAAGAGCAGCAGTAATGGTCGAAGCTTCAGAGACCGGGAAAAGCATTCGTAAATCCCACCGAAGCAACGCCAGTTACAAAACTAAGATTACTGCACTCCGACACCCAGACGGAACAGTTACAGTGTCAAGAAAGGCAATGGAAAAAATTATTCATGACAGCTACTCAGATCTCTTCAGTAGCCATATCCTCCTTACCTCATATCGAATAAAGGAAAATGTCGTAGCACCGGTTTTACCTTCGGAAATCCGACATGTTATTTCGTTGGTGAAACATTGAACAGCACCAGGTCCAGACAGGATAAGATCTGAACACCTGAGGAACCTGTCGCCAGTTTTTGGAAACACATGGGCTTGGCTCTTCATACGTTATCTGTCTGAATGAAAAATCCCTACTCGATGGAAGACCAACAAGACCGTGATATTGTTCAAGAAGATTGACCTCCATGATATCGGCAACTATTCCCATCCTGTTGCTGTCTGCTGTCTACGAAATTTTCACATGAGTCATACTAAATCGGCTTTACAGAACACTGGACGAAGGACAGCCATGTGAGCAAACAGGGTTTCGAAAAAGATCCAGTACAATGGACCACATACACACTATCACAAGGTTCACTGAAGTATCGCGAAAGTACAGAAAATCGCTCTGGTCTCACTTCCATCGATTTAAAGAAGGCGTTTGACTCAACTTAGATAGAAGCAGTCATGGAGGCCCTGAACGGCCAAGGAGTTCTTACTCAGTATATATTCTTCGTTAGCTGCATGAAAATTTCACAACGAAGATATCACCAATCTACAACAATATTAACATCGTAGGCAAGGCGATACCATCTTGCCAAAATTGTTTACCGCAACCATCGAGAAAGCCATCTTCGCTTTGCTAATGACATCGTTCTTATACCACCAAACATTAGCCAAACGGAACGAATGATTGTTGACTCTGAAACGCCTAATGAAAGATTGGTCTTAGAATAAAACTAACAAAAACGGTGTCCATATGTAATAGATTGGTTTCGTATGCCCCATACACACTCAACGGAACGAATATCTCCGAATGTTCCAGTTACGTCTGCTTAGGTCAGGAAATCAACATGATGAACTACTTAGCTCCAGAGCTGAACATAAGGAAGCGAGCAGTTTGGGCAGCTTTCAATGAAGATGTAGTGAAGAGAATAAAGAGCACCCGATTCCATGCCCAACCTTTCAATTCCACGATTCTTCCTGCCTTAACGTATGCTTCTGAGACCAGGACGCTATGTAAGAATGATGAAAGATCAGAAACACTCAGCAAAACGCTCAATCGAAAAGACGATGCTAGGCGTATCCCGTATGACATTAGTGCGGAAAGGAATGCGAAGCTCTGATCAACGTCAACGATCAAAAATCAAAGAAGTTTCGCTTTGGAGAGACAACATATCCATCCTCCGTTATTTCGTATGGAGACAGGAGGACATGGCTATTGAAGAGATCCGAGTAGTATTCGAGAATGATTTTCTCCATCACCTTTCTGGGAGGTGTAACCGTTCTACCTGAGTGTGGGAGTGTGACCATATTGGTTTAATAAACAGCGAGGTTTCAGTGCGCTTTACGAATGCCCTACATGGCTTCTGCCGGCTCGACTATAACTGCTCTTCGCTTTTTAAGATCTGTTTCTTATCGCCTGTCTGCACTCTATTGCAAGTTCGGGCGTAAGTTAGCGGTTGACTGCACCCTGTGTAATTCCACGCTGGCGTATCAGCTCGAGTGTTTCTGGAGACAAACGTCTCTTGGTGACTTTCGAACCCTAGCTTTCATAGTGCAACGTGAAGATGTTGAATGAGCCGATCGCATTCCTCGTCGATGTTACTGACAACGGCATCTTCCCAACAGCCGACTAATGAATTGAATAAGTTCCAGTGTGCGGTGGTTCTGGGACCTCGGTTTTGGAATTCTGCGGCTTTTTGTCCTTTCCGCGAGAACTGGAATCTTGCACGAAGTAGACGATGTTCTGATACCGTGTAGAATTTTGGGACAACAGCGACATCGGTTAGGCAAACCTTTCTGTTTACTGTGATGTGGTCTATTTCGTTATGGTGCTGTCCACAGAAAGACTCCCACGTCCAGTGTTGTGGGCGGAGTTTCTAAAATTGTTAGTTACCATGAATGATCTTGATCACCGTGATAAACTCTGACAGTCGCTCACTCTGCTCGTTCCATTCTAATCCGTGGGTTCCAAAGTGACGTTCTTCAGACGTTCTTCTTGGTGCAGTTTTGGCGTTGAAATCTCCAATGATGACTTTGAAAAGTGTATGGTCTTCTCTGTAGAACTTCTCCAAGTCCAAATAGAATGCTTCGATTTCTTCTTCGTCATAGTTTGATGTCGGCGCGTAAACGACGAAGATTGTCAAAGCCGGAATTGATCCACTTAATCGTAAACGTCCGATTCGGGTTGTAAGTTGTTCGAAAGAATCGATGTTCATGGACAAACTCGTGTTGACGAGAACGCCAACACCTCCGACTCCTCTACTACCGCATGTTCCGAGGAATTGTCGTTCTCCGGTGTCATGGACGGCGTTGAAAGGCCGGCGCTTTCTCGTTTCGGCCAGGCCGATGACGTCGCACCTTATTCTTCCTGCTTGCGTGAGAAAGTCTTCTATCGAGGACTCGGATTCAAGAGTACGTGTATTGCAGGTACAGGTCGTCACCATAGTTCTTTGAAATCCAGACAGATTCCATTGGCCCTGATATTTTAGCTGCCTCTCAGTACTCGTCGTACCCAACGGGTTCCAAGGCCCCTTTCGGGGTTAAGAGAGTGAGGCCCTTTTATTTCACTGTTTTTAATTTTTTTTTCATACCCAAGTGTAGATTGCTGAACTCTGCTCGTGGAGGATGGGTACACTCTCTAGTAACCTGCCGGTGTCTCGAGAGTACGCGTGGGAGTTTACTTGTTGGAGGTGGTTCCTAACCGCCTTCGATATACTTCCGTGCCATTTGATGTCAAGCTTTCCGCCGGATTGACTCGTGGATTACAATCCGCAAAAACGAGAACATACCCACACACGCATGTATGAATATGTCTTCGTAAATACAGCAGATATGTGCCAAACAAAGGTGTTTTGGTCCGCGACTAACCTCCTATCTGCAAATTGGGTACACACCAAGTTGCCTGGCGACTAAGTGGCATGAGATCCCTCCATGAGGGATATCCGTGGCTTATTTCTTTATATTAAAATTTATACACTAATTGACGAGCTTCGTAACCGACGGAAATGTTTCTAAAGTGTCTCAGCTTTTTATTCATTGCGTGTTTGTGGGTTCGTAGCCCACTTGAGGTCCCGAGTTTTGTTCATATCACAGCATCTTTGTGGTTACAGCCACAGAAAGTTAAGCAAAAATCAATCTCTATAAAAAAATATGTTAAAGGTAGAAAGTTCTTGCTACCTGTGTGAACAGTTCATTCCCCTGTAACCGCAGAGTCTCCACGGACTTCATTTTCTCCTCCGAGTTGAGCTGCCACCCTTCCGCTTCGTAATGCTCAGGTTGTGTGACAGACAACAAGTGAAAAATAATCCGAAGTGGACGAGGCTCTTTCATAAGGTCGTCCAGAGCAGCATAACCAGTGCTTAAATAATAAATCTGACAGTTTACAACAGTTAAATTTGTGCAGAATTGACTTCTTTATTTTGCACGACCCGACGTCGCTTATGCTGTGCGCATCCCGATAAATTTTATATTCGATTCGTTTCCTTGAATCCATAGTCCATAAATGTCTTTGAACCTTCTTCAGATCTGCGATCTATTTTTGCTCTTTTCAACGTTATTGAGTGCTGGTTGAGTCGGTCTTGCTTAGAACCCTGGGATAGCCGTAATAAGATATTCCAAGACCTTCATAACAGGTAATCGTTAACTTTAGTGAAATTGAAGGTTCGGGTTAATCCCAGAAGAGTCTGTCATCAATTTTCCGACCCTGATCGGATGTGGGTTTGGTTGGCACTAGGCGGACTTTACGCTTATTAACCCCTTTCGCAACAACGGCTACTTTGGTGTGGCTGGCCTACAGGGCCATACCTCATTGACGTGATATCGCAGCGAGCATCGAAGTGAATATGTACGGTCTATAAACCCGACCAAATAGAACAGCACACTAGTTACCTGTGGTTTTCGTTCTACTACCTGCTTCTATCACATGTTTCCATCTTTTCATGCTCTACATATCCGCTGTGCTCTTCCTTTTATGTTTCAACGTTTTTGGACCATATGCAACTGATTTAAGTGATGAAAAAACAGACTCGTCTACTACCTGACCACGGTGATACTAGGTTCCGCTGGGTTAATGCACAATGTCCGTTGGATAAACCATGGATTAATAACAAAAAGTCTGGCAGAAAAAAACTCTGCCCGGCGAAATAAATCAGCAGAAAAACATGTTCATCAAATCGATGGGTAGGATCAGTAGAATGTACCAAAGTACACATCCAAATCAATGCCCATACTCACGAAAACGTTAACGGCATCACTAACACGGGTACCGGAGCCCCGTAAGACTAAATACGCTGTGGAAACCCATTGTAATACAATTCAAACAACTGTTAATATTTGTAAAAAAAAAACACACACACACAAAAGGACTTTAAAATATTCATTGGCAAACTAGAAGGAAATTAACTTGCAGACTAAAGAAGAAATATAGAATCCTTTACTTTTTTCTCGCGGTAGTGTATGATAGAAATATCAAACTGCTCATATCTCTGCTGGTGAGCATGGCATGAGCCTTCTACTGCATATTGCGTTTCGACTGCAAAGAAAACCCTATCCATTGGTAGTAAATATTCAGAAAAAATATATATATACGTATATATACATACATATAATATATATATATATATACGTATATGTACATATGTATATAAAGAGGGGTGAGTATGAAAGTAGCAGGGATGTCATTCAATACAAGCAAAGCCTTCCCTCGACAACCGGCTCAACCAAGCCTTCCATCACTCCGGAGATGGGAAATTAGTGACAGATTTATTTCTGGGAGGAGCTCATTCTGATGTACAAAGGCTAGTTAGTCACTGCCTATGGTGAAGACCTAAAAACCTATAAGCATAACAATTCCGGAATAACATGGAGAATGGGTTTGATCAGCATTCATCCGCTTGTATAAAGAAGACAGAAGACCACTTTAAGCAGCAGCCGAACCCATACGCATATCCGAAGACCTACGTGGACCACGAAAGCAGAGAAACAAATCAAATGAAAGGAACGACGGAAGGCGCACATGTGATATCTGACATATATATATACAGTTCTACTTAATATAAAAGGAACATTCCGAAGAAACTGCACTTACCCAGCGGTCAGGGCAGCTACACACATGTGTGAATCGTGTGAATGAGAATGACCTTTTGTGTGAGGTTTGACCATATCTCGTAGTTTTTTTGACACCATCGGATAAGTGCACAACTCACTGGGTTCCACATCAAATTGTGAGATCTGGAGCACAATGATTTAGTTTACGGTCAGTAGTCTACTAAGGAAGAATATCGTGTTTTATATTTCTTAGTTATACAGAAATATTCGCATTTTTGTCAGTATCAAGTAGAAACCTTTCGAAAATAACGGATGAAAAGCAATATTTTTACTATTCTTGTATCACCAAAAATATATCGCACAATGTGAGTAGACTTTTAACCTAATGTGCCGTAGATCGAACAACACTAAACGACAAAAATGAAAGGTAAACTTTTTGGCGTTGAACAATCACCTAATAATGCACGATTTTCATGGTAAAGCCCCTCTAAACACTAGCCTATATGTACTAATATGCTTCTCAGCCACTGTTTTTATCACTCAGACAAGTCTGGCACCAATCTGCAAACCGAAAGGGATGGAAGATTGGTTAGCACAGGGGGCTGTTTGAACCAACAACTATTACATGCTGGGGTCAGTAAGCACAGAGCTGCATTTGCGCAACCAACATAAAGGATAAAGGATAAAGCACTCGGCGTTGATCAATCCTTGAGGGATGCGCCATGCATTTGACTTTATTAAGCATCGTTGGAGGTGATTGAATGCATATCTGGCCTTTTACAATAACTCGTGGTGGCCTACCGATGTATCGAGCCGGTGCTGCTGTCCTCACGGAGAAGTACGGTACCAATTTGCCGACGCCGGAGGGATGGAAAGCTTGATGAACCTTTTGCCCAGGGATCGATTCTATGTATATTACAGGGCACCTACGACCACTGCGCTACACGCGCAACCAACGTAAACACGTTAAACGAAATTACCTCATCAACCAGCATTGTTTGCAAGCACGTTTCAAAAATAGGAAGCTGGAATTTCTTGCCAAATATTAACTCCAGCGGTTTCCCGTACCCATCTGGCCAGTTGCTTCGTGTGTTGTCAATCACTTCATAGCCATCTCTAAACTGAACACGTTTTTTCAAAATCCTCTCCAAAATACCCTTAGATAAGGTTTGCTTTTTGAAACTATAACACAACCATAATTCAATAAATCCTAACCGTATTGATTAGGTCTGCTATTCAATCATTAATATAGAACACTAGATTCAAACCTTCACTGAACGAAAAAGCCTACAATTAACGACACTCTAGTAGGAAAAAATCTTATATCTACTAAAATTTGCGTTGTAAAATAAAGTAGGAAAAAAAGGAAAAAGGAACAAGAAAGTTACGGGAACCTTGGAATTGATTAGAGCAACAGATAATGACGAAAGTCTTCTATTCCATCCACATGACTTACTTAGACATCCAGTTGGCTCGCCTTCACTGGCTGTGCGGGCCCCAACATAATTTCTACTTTTCTGTGTTTTGCTAGCATAGGCATTTTAGTTCCCTGGAGTCCCGAGGTCAGCTAGACCAAAATTTGCTTCGGGTCGTCACTACCACAGGTAGTCTCTGCCTTCGTGGAACAGAGGGAGATTTGCCACCATGCGACTAGTTTGATACCAGGGATACCAGGACGGTGGTGGATCGTGGCATTGGTTTACTCATAACTGGACTTCCTGATGGAAACACCGGACTCCTCAACTTGTGATGCCCTGCGGGTGGATGAATCCCACGCTGTACATCGCACCCCGACACCCAAGAACACTTCCCAGTCACGGTCAGGTGGTAAACCGTTGGGAGGATTCCGTCGTCATTATATCACACAAATAACAAGTCACAGGGATCAAATTTACCTGTTTTCTGGCATTTCAACATGCGATTTCACTGCGTACCGAGGTTTTAAGGTCTCATAATGAAACACGGCTTTAGTACCAGTTCGATATTCTGGAATTATACCCCGTCCTGAATGCAGCACTTTTTTAAGACACTTCGGACGAGGTTCAGGCATGACTTCAAACCACGGAGTTCACACCTTAACGAAAAGAAACACAATAGGAGAACGCAGAAGGCGTCCATTACACCTGACGTACACAAGCGCTATAACACCTTCCACGCCTCGATATCTCCAGTAGATCGTCGAATGCACAGGAATGAAAACCACTACGAAAGGTAGCAGGATGAATACCTTTCACAACATCCTATCACGTAACATCCATCTTATTTCTTTGTTTTTTCTTGTAAAATAGTAATAGGAAGGACTGAAATATTTTCGATCAACTTGTTTAATATTTTTGAAAACCACAACATTTGTTTACACAAACATAATTCACACCTAGGAGAATTTCATGGGAAAAAAATGGCATATGGATCGACTATGGGCCTGCAGAAAGACTACAATCACCAGATAATATACAACAACAGCACACAGTCAACAAAAAGCAAGCTGGACTGTCGAGAATCAATCAGAGATACTAGGTTAATTATGCCTCAAAAGCGTCAAAATGATAATGACAGAAGCACCAAGCTGAGAACAGTTCATGTCAGTACACCATAGCAGCGAGTTCAAATGAAAAATTAAATATGTTCCATAGCTACAGCACCAGAAATTTGAAAAGGGACTAGTAACGACAAAGAAGAAGTCGCTCAGTTCATCGAAGGTTGTCAGGCCATTCTGGTATGTAATAGCGCCGTACAGAACCCTCAAGCAGTCGATCCAACCAGTTTGGAAAACCATTCAGAACGTTCTCCTCACTCACAGTACCACCGCGACGTACCACTACGTCCTCAAAATTAGGACATTCCAGTTTATGATAGAATTGTGGAATGAGGTACTGATAAAATAACAACAAAATGTATGAAATTGAAGATAGATGGTTAATCTGTCTACACCAGACAGACTGTGGAATTTTTCGTATAGACGTTGGAACAAGTATTCTTAATAAACCGAGATTATCGGCACTTACTGCACGCCAGGCGCGTGTGGCGCAATAGTCGCAAGCGCCCTGCAATACAGATGGGATCGAACGCCGCTCCCGTGGCCCACCAAGCTTTCCTTCCCCCCGGAGTCGATAAATCAGTACTAGACTTGTCTAGGACGATAGCAGCACTGGCTCGATACATCGGTAGGCCATCGCAGGTCATTGCATAGGCCATATATGCATTCAATCACCTTCAAACTATGCTTAATGGAGTCGAATGCATGACGTACCTCAGAGATTGATGAACGCCGCTAACTTTTTATCCTTTTTAATACACGCAAAAACAGACTACCCAGTGAATGAAGCGGCACTCACCTCCGTGTTCATATTGTCACTATCCGAATCAGAACTGATATCATCCTCACTATCAAAGCCCAAGAAGTGTTGTTGTGGTTGATGCTTCTTCTTCTCAATCCTGTGCATAGGATGGTATATGGAAAAGTATAGCTTCCAGCCACACAATGACAGGACCGTACCGATAGTTTGTCGCGGATTAATCGACTGAAATAATACATTTGTTAATGGCATCGCAAGTTACAAAAATAACATCTATAGCAATAAGCGAAAATATCCACTACATAAGCAATCACAGAAGAACACTTTTGCTCAGTAAAAAAATTGAACAGATACTGCCCCTTACCTTTAATTTTACATAGAGTGAATCCCCTTCTGTAATACCGCAGCTATCACCTAATGGAAGTGTGTGCTCAAGTAGCTTTCGGAACCAAGGGAGATTTTTCTCCACCATCAAGTAACCAAACGAAAAGGTTTTGTTACTAAAAACCAGAATTCTTTGCTGTCCTGAATCCAAGACAACCCAGAATGAAGAAGATGGTACAATCAATCTATACAAGATTGAAACTTGAACTACACCAAAAAAAACAACTGCTTACTTCTTTAGAGGAAGAATGTATAGAGCAAACTGCATTAACAGGTTATTTTTACTCTGCTCATCGACCAACAGAATCAGCGACCGGCATCCAGGTTTGAGTAGACGTATCATACCGAAATAACTCTCTGCACGTAGCTCATGAATATGTGGACTCATAATCGACAGTGCACTAAAAGATGCAGATTCAATGATAAATACGTACCCTTTGTAAGCTGAACTAAACTTAATAAAGGAGTCTCCATAGAACAAGTGGAATATCAACAGTTGAAAGAAAGAAGCGTACCGTTGCAATCTCACTTGAGAATTAAGCTTCGTATAAGTCTCATTTTTTGACTGTGGATCTTCAGGATGCCATTCTTCGGAAGTGTTTTTCTTTGGTTTTTCCTTGAAAGCAAAAGTTATAAGCTGTAAGCATTCCTAATATAATCCATAAAAAATGGAAATGACTCCTCACTTTCTTTGGCCTAGTCTCTTGGTTCATGTAGTTCAATCCATAACCAACGATGAGAATAACAAAAAACGTTGCAACAGCCGATAGCACCGGATACGCTTCCTCTTTTGTTAGATGGAACCAAGCAGACTGCACCATGCGCACCAAGGCACGGCACATTCGCGTCCACCATGAAGGAGCATACTCATTGACCTTAACAAGCACATTCACATACTAGCAAAGAACAGCTAAACATCATATCGACATTATCATTTTTACTCCTGATAATCACAGAGCAAACTGATAGGACAGAAATAAAATCTTCTTCACACCTGTTCCGCGCCGTATCCACCTAATTCCGAGGGACGAAAAGCTCTTAGGTCTTAACTTATTCTTATCTACATTAGTAAAAACATTCCCTAAACTAACAAACTATGGTCTTTAGAAACGTTTCTGCTTTTGAATCAGCTTGCGTTCACTCCTCAGTCACTTCAGTACCATTTGGCTGGACAGAGTACATTATATATGGAAAAATTCATTCACGCAGCTGCGTATAGATACGATGTTTGTAGTAAGATCATAAGTTATCTCCTGGTAGCAGAATGAAGTAGCCCACATCCGGAACACCTAATCAGATGTACCGCAATCCTTTTGAAGATATTCATAACACTCAATATTTGTCATTACGAATAACGTACCAAGTTTCCAACAGAAGCCGTTTGCTCGAGTTTAATAGCTTGAGAAATAACACCATCTAGAAGATTTTTAAAGTGGTCAACGTCATCACCCCATGCTGCCTCAAGCCACGTGAAGCGCGCCTTCACATGCTCTAAGCGCCAAAGCACTAATACATCTCGAGCTTTTGCCTAAATTATCTAATGTGTAACGATATATTAACTACGAAGTGTAACTTCAATGAACATTAGTGACCGATACAACATTACTGACATAAAGAACAGTTCTAAATTGCTAAGTTTACGCGAGGTTGATAAACAACTTTTATTCGGCTAACGTTTCGACGTCTTCATCAGAGGTGTAGCACTGACTCGGACCATCAGCTCTGATGAAGACGAAGACGCCGAAATGTTAGCCTAATAAACTTTTTGTCAATCTTGTGTAAGCTCAACAATTTAAAATATGCTGATTACTTCATTGTCAAGGTTGAATAACGGTCGGTTTGGAAATACAGAACGGTATTTAGACCAGAAAGACCATATTCCTATAAAACATATTGTTGTAGACCACCAAAAAATGAAAACAGTGGGAGCATTCGCTCTGTCAGATCAAAAACATTTTCAGTTGATTTAACACGAAACGACATAAAATAAAGAAAAGCTCACAACGCTTTCGCCATTCTTCTTTTCTAAAAATGGTTTAATCCATTCGGATTGCTTATTCACATAAATATATGTCAAGACCACCTGGAAATAAACAAATGAACTAAAACGAGTGAATTTGCAAAATCTGGAAGACATCTCACTTTTTGTTGAGCATATTTTTTATTGTACTGACGAGTAAACACTCGGAAACTGTTAAGAAAGACCACATCTTCACGAGAATCCATGACAGGTAAAACGACACAAATACGTCGAAGATTCCTTGAAGAAACGGGGCACAACTCATCCAGATATTCCGTGGAAGAAATCTTAAATTTTTTATGATGCAAAATCAAAATCATTATCAAAAAACGTGAAAAGTAGGGAAGATGACGTACTCTTGGTAGGCTTATCCATTTGTTATTCTCAATGAGCGAATTCAAGGCGTCCATGGTCAGTTGATTTATATTGCTAATAGACAGCCTAGCAACAGGACCATCCTATAATCCAATTTCTGCATATATTATAAAGGAATAAAAATATAAAGGTCTCGATGTTGACCAGTCCGTGAGGGATGCGTCATACAATAGATTCATTAAGCATCGTTTGGAGCCATTGCATGCAAATCTGGCTTTTACGATGACTCACGGTGGCCTGCCAATGTATCCAGCCAGTGCTGTTTTTCTCCTAGCCAAGCCTGGTACCAATTTGCCAACTCCGGATGGTTGGAAGGCTTAGTGAGCCTGAGGCGCAGCAATCGAACCCATGTGTACTGCAGGACGCCTCCGACCACTGCGCTACACGCGCCTATATGAAAAAAGGGAGTTGTAGATAACACAAACCTCAGGCAAGTCGTTAAATATTAGCACGTTTTCACATTGTGTACATTTGATAGACAAATCTTCCCGAAGCAAAGCAACCTAAATTGAGTACCGTTCCGAGATTATTCACATGATGGAATTCCCGAGAACAATATAATTCGATTCTCGAACTCATTTTCTGCTTTTCCACTTATCCATTCACTTTGATACCTCTTTCAATGGAGATGAAAGATGAATATAAGCAAAGCGAGCAAAATGTGAATACTTCATTGCGGCAAGCAAGTATCTCATACGGGGTTCTGTCGCAGTACCCAATACAACGACTGAGATCTAAAGTACAGAGGTACAGAGCACAATGTAAACACAGCTGAAGGTATCTTATCACTAACTGATACCTTGTTGCTGGGCTCCCACTGACTCACGAATCGCGACAACGCGTCGCGTGAATTGATAAAACCCATAAACGATCTCGGAATTACATCACGAGCAAAAACGCGAACGTCCCTGGAAAGAGCCAAGTTTATAAGAATAAACCGGAAGTTAATCATGATGGACACTTGGTAACGAACAAAAAAATGTAGAAAGTAGTTTAAAAAAACTCTCTGCGTTGATCTACCGCTTAGGGATGCGCTATGAATTCGACTTCATTAAGCATAGTTCGGAGGTGACTGAATGTATGGCCTTTACAATGACTCGCAGTGGTCTACCGATGCACCGAGCCAGTGCTGATACATTTCTAGACAAGTCTGGTAACAATTTACCGACTCATGAAGGTTGGAAGGCTTGGTGAGCCTGCGGCGCAGAATAGATCTCATGTGTATACTACACGCTACACGCATAGAAATTAATAGTTCAACAAAATCGTGCAGAAATACAAACAATCAGCCACTAACTTCTCATTCAACAGGAACATATCCGAACGAAAGTGCGTCACTCTGCCTTCAACGATAGCAACAATGGCTGGAAGCCGCGATACACGCAACTTTTCCAGCAGATTACCATCAGTCAACGCGTTTACAGTACCGATGCCATAACCTTAATAGTGGATGTGACCAAAGAAATTGGAATAATACAGCATTCACAGTTCAAAAGACGTTAAAAAATACCGAGAGGCCCCAAATACTCAGAGATCGCTTTCCACTGAGCTTGCAAGCGAAAGCACAACTGACAGTAATTGGAATATGCGTAGAGAAGAAACGGTTGACAATAACTTCTGAAAAACAAACTGGCATAACGACCTACTGAACTAATTAAATAACTATTAAGCTGAAAACAGTGTTCATAATCTCAATCGGTTCATCAATAACGGAACAGCCAAGTTGCCAATGCATCAGAGAAATATACTTTATTGTAGTGGAACCTACTTACTCGAATACTCGAATAGCCCGTCTTTACTGGTTGTACGGGTCCCAGCATAATCTCCATTTCCTCGGAGTTTTGATGGCTTAGCCAACGCGGCTCGCTGGGGTCCGGAGGTCAGCCAAGACGGTCCGCCCGAGGTCGTCACCACCACAAGAAGTGACCGCCCAGTTTGATACCAGAACGGTGACGGATCCTGGTTTTGGTTTACTCTTAGCTGGACTTCTTCATGAAAACGCTGGACCCCTTTTCAGTTTGGGATACCGTGCCGGGATTATGAATCCCCACTGTACATCATAACCCGAAACCCAGAAACAAATAGCCACGATGAGGCGGTAAGCCGTTGGGATTCTGAATAGGTAAGAGATAAAATTCCTACCGCTCTACTATAGAATGGGTGTACTGACGAAGAGAGATTCTTTGCTTGCCAAAGATACCATCTTCGAAACCACCAAAACCACCGAACTGCAACAAACTTTTTCAACCACCGTCCAGGACAATGACTGGCAGCAACACAGTGAAAAATGAGATGTACAAATGAAAAAAGTGAAATCTTTGCTCAATAACTTTGCTGCTAAGTCGTCTGAAACACATCTGCTAACCATATTCTGATAAGATACTTACAAAATGCTCAAATCCAGAAAACACATGCTGATGGTGATAAGACGAAGACTGAGGAGTGTCATCAATGGTCCCAAATTTGTCGAATCGCTCTTTCTTCAGCGGATCGGAGAGTAGCTCGTACGCCCGACTGATCGCCACAAATCGCTCCTGCGCGTCCGGAGCGGTGTTCTTGTCTGGATGCCTAAAATATGGCCGTGGTTTCTCGGCTAACAATTCGCTGTTAGCTTCAACCCACTCAACTCACCATTCTTTGGCCAGCTGTTTGTATGCTCTCTTTATCTCTTTTATATTAGCAGTCTTGGACACGCCAAGTGTTGCATAGGGATCTTGTGGGTAGTCTGAGCCGACCACGCATACCGCCAGGATCGCATATGGAGTCAAATACAGTCGCATCCGGCAGTAGTCAGGCAATTAACCAAGTAGTACAACACTTCGTGTCTGCAACAGTAACGTGATTGCATCACAACGCCAAATTGGAAACACAGCTCAGGTGCAACTAGCATTTCGATCATAAGAGAACGGATAAATCAGACTTCTAGACGATTACCAGAACAACAAACTCAGTACCGTGCTTAAATCTACACTGTTTCAGTAGCAACAAATCACTCTTCAATAACAAACTGACTTTGATGCACAACAAACGACTGCTGCCCGAATACAGTTGAACGAAGAAAACTAACGCCACTATAAAGTATAAGGGATAAAGCTCTCGGCGTTGACCAATCCCTGAGGGATGCGCCGTGCACTAGACTTCATCAAGCATCGTTGGAGGTGACCGAATGCATATATGGCCTTCACAATGATTCGTAATGGCCTATCGATGTATCGAGCCAGTGCTGCTATTCTTCGAGACAAGTCTGGTAGCAATTTGCCGACCTCGGAGTGATGGAAGACTTGGTGGACCAAAGGATCGAGAATCGATCCCATGTGTGCTGCAGGGCGCGCCCAGACCACTGCGTTACACGCGGCCTTATTAAGAGCAGTACATCTGTGAATTTAAAAACTCGATGAAACTTTACGAAACCAGTATAAGGAAGGATCCCGTACTAAGCGAAGAGGAAACCTGTACATGCCGGCGGGTCTTGCGCAGTGCTACAAGCGCTATCGCGAGGTAATCAATAATCTCGAGAGTCGTCGATGCACCGTCGGTAGTACATGGAATCTCTTCGTACTGTTACTCGTAATTTAAGCACTCACGACTACTTCAACTTCTTTATGACAGTGGCAGATAAAAAATTAGCCGAGAGATAAACGAAACGAATGGTCCGGATGGTGTGGTGATCAACACTTTAGCTCCCAGAGAGCTCCCAGCGTGTTCGTTCCTTACCACAGAGACCTGCGATCCAGAGTTGTGTAAATATCGTAGCACCATTATGGTTGTATTCGCGACTACGTTAATTTTTTGATAATTGCTTATAACTCATCGATAACTAGACTAGTTAGGAACCTCAGCCCTTTGCCGACTTGTCTACTCTCTGAAGGTATTGTATGTTTCCTAAAATCATATTGTCATTTGAAATCTCACCAAAACCCAACTTTTTAAAAGTTCCTAAAAATTCGAGGTCTTCAAACGTTTTTCGCAAGCAAGCAGGTGTAAACACTAAGGAGACATCTGAGGATAGAATCGCGTCCTGTCGAACGAAACTCCGCTTGTTCAATTTGATTCGCCGATGCCTCCATAACCAAACAAAGAAACTCCAAACCAAGATTTCAATCACTTTGAACACAGCTTTGCACACTCACCGCTTTCTGTATGGTCTCCACTAAGTATGTCACGTAGAGACCAACCGCACAGAAATCACGTGGAAGTATAATGTGCCCCTCACATCAGAAAAGGAGTTTTATATACTGCCCTATATCACGCGTGATAATGAGGCATTCTTCCCTGCGGTTCATTTTCGGATTTCTGGAATTAATCCAGAGTGCCTCGAGGGTCGAGTTCGAGGAAAAAAAAAAGAGAAAAAAGGAAAAGCGGTGAGTGTGCAAAGCTGTGTTCAAAGTGATTGAAATCTTGGTTTGGGGTTTCTTCGTTTGGTTATGGAGGCGTCTGGCCGAGTGAGTTGCTATCAACTTGACCTTTCCAGGCTCTGAAGAAGGCGTTACTTTTGCGTTAAAATATGAAACCCTAATCTGTTCACCAATAGAACTTCCCTCTTACAACAAAAAACGGTACACAAATTTCATCTTATTATATAAAGACAGCAGTTTCTTACCTCATGCTGCTGAAGTTCGAAGGAAAAAATTACCAAAAGAGATTGGTAAAAAAAATCTACTCGGCTAACGTTTCCACATCGTCTTCCTCAGACCCAGTGATCCGCTTTGATGGTCGAGCAACGTACCGTAGATTAATACGTCCATCCATTGAGATTACCTGCTCTGAGGAAGACGAAGACGTCGAAACGTTAGTCGGATAAATCGTTTTATTAACCTCGTCTTGGCTTGCCAGTGACAGAACACATATTGATCCGCTATTTTGAGATTAAAGGAAAGTCGGTTCTTAAAATATTACCGAAAGAGAAACTACAATTGTAGCCAAAAGTTAGGAACTTATCCGTGGATGTATGGAAAAATAGTATGTTAGAGCTTGACGTCTATATGTCACCATTAAAAAAATTTGTCCACAAATCATTTATTAAAACTTATGGAGTTCCCGGTAGGATCAATACTGACTGATTTCCTGAAGACACTGTACAACGTCATTAATTATTCACCGGTATTAAAATAATTGCAGTGTTACTTGCATGACTTTTAAGTTCGTCAACAGCTCATATTAATAATGGTTTGTCAAACGAGAAAGAATGACGATATCACAAAGTTAAGATATGAAATTTTCTACATCGGATAGGAAATTCTCTTTATATAATGCCCTCGAACACAGAAGAAGAAGACTAGGAGCGGAAGCAATATGATGCAAGTCCACCTGAACGAAAAATGGTGTGGCAATGTTGAACGCCGCAGCGAACTGTTGATTTGTCTGAAAGGCATGACATAAACATCATGTACTGCTAATACAATAGTAAAGGATAAAGGTCTCGGTGTTGATAAATCCCTGAGAGGTACACCATGCATTCGACTTCATGAAGCATCGTTTGGAGGTGACTGAATGCATATCTGGCGTTTTACAATGACTCGCGGTGGCCTATCGATGTTTCGAGCCAGTGCTGCTATCTTCCCAGACAAGTCTGGTATCATTTGGCCGACCTCAGAAGGATGGAAGGCTTGGTGAGCCTAGGACGCGGGGATCGAACCCATATGTTTTGCACGGCCCCTCCGAGCATTGCTCCACACACGCCCTTGATAGTGTTAATGTAGAAGGACCTAATGAAGCAAACAACATGTAGCGAAATGTTAAGATGTAAGCGGAAAGATGCGATCACCTTAGTGGCAGCTACTTCTCTTAATCCACTGATCCTACTATTTAGCACCGGTGCATCTTCTGTTGCTCGCGGTAGTTGATTTTCTCCCATCATTTGTTGTGTTAAATACAATTCCAGAATTATTAAGATTGCACGCATACTGTAAAACAATAGCGAACGTTCGAAATAAGAAACATATGAGTTGCAAACAGTAAAAGAAGAGGAGTTAGGAATACCGTGGCGAATGTGCAGTTTTCTTGCTGCTTATTAAACTCGTAATGAAACTAGAGTCGTCTTTCGCAGCCTGTGGAATAAAACTAATATTACGTGTAAAAATACACAATTAAGGTTGCATAAATTTCTTCCAACTATTACTTCTTACTGCCAGTGTTTTAGTCGAATTTTTAAAGCAACATCCAGAGAAAAGAATAAACCGTCTTCACCATTACCTCATAAAACCAAATTTAATGCGTCTACTTCAGGGAACAATAACCCTATTCCCTTTTGATATTCGGTAGAATAATGAACTTTCACACTCAACGATACATAACATGAACCAGCATCTTAGGATCGACCAACCCACATTCTCGCTAACCTCTTCTCCACCTCACTCTTCAAGGGTCGAACTTAAATATTTGCAATAAATAAAATGCAACGTATTTCTTTGATATTACCTTATTCAACCATCGCATAAACGATGGCAGGAAATCGTCAAGTGCTTGACCTGGATTGGTGTAAGCGGCAAGCACAGAGTTTACCAGCCAACGAACCTCTTCCCATATGAGAAGCAGAAATGAAGCTTCGCACCACACATGCCTTAAAAATGATCGATAATTGATTATTCATATGAACAGAAGAAGTACGCTAAAAATACTATTACTTTGGCTTAATACTGATGATAAATTTATGCAGTGAAAGAAATACGTCCCGTTGCTGGTGAACTCTGACGAACCACGCTGTTGTTAGCATAAGTGGATATGACTTACTGCAACTGCAATAACAAAGAGAATAAATAGAGAAGAAAATCACCTCAGATGAAACACTACAAACCTTGAGGTACTTAGCAAACAATCACGCACACTTGTGATGCGGTTGTTGGGACATTGAATCCAACATATAAGCTCTTCCCAAGAAAACGAATGCCCTAAAAGCATTATAAGGAGATGTGAAGTACAACTACAATGAAGCTGCGATATTTGCAAAACTCCGAACAGCAGGTGACTGTGGCGACGATCGAACCTCGTCACTACCCTTTCCGGAGCTAACATGTTCACCACCACACCATGCGTGTTCCTCGTTTCGCCTTTCTCTCAGCCGTGTTTTATAGGCGCTATCAGCATTTATACGGAGAAACGCAGTAAAAAACACCATAATAAAAGTAACTCGAAAGAACGACTTTCTATAAACCTCGGCATAGATAGTTGGTATATTTATTTATGTGATTTTATAAACTGATCATCTTAAGCTGACGAGAGGTTGGTACAGGTCTTCACTGTCGTTGTCGTTGTTAGAGGAAAACGTTGGGTAGTTTCCCAAAATAACATTTCGGACGTAAGTAAGATCCCCTTTAAGGTACCCTTCATATCAAATAAAGTAAGTCACGCCATTAAAAAGTGATTAAGAAAAAGTGGTCTTGAAAATTATGCAACGATTATTGACATCCCACCCAATACCCTACGCCGCCAGTTAGTTCGAAACCGTCTCTATGATCATTTGTGCAGCTCAGAAAACTGTATGATCTGTCCTAACGGTAGAGACGGGGATTGCATGAGTTTAAGTATAATATACTTGATTTCGTGTAACGCATGCGGTGAGGAATATATTGGGGAAACGGGTAGACCACTTTGTGTCCGCATAAAAGAACATCTGGAAGGAAAAGCTAAAATCCGTCTAAACACTCCTCTAGGTACACATAGGGCACAAAAGTACAACGGCGATGATTTTGAAGTGAATGTGCGGATCCTAGCGCAGGAATCAAAAACATCAACGCGCAAAACTCTTGAGGCGTTTTGGATAAATTTCAAAAATCCAAAGATCAACCGGAAAGACGAATGCCTTACTATTACGCGTGACCTGGCGCCCTATTTTAAAATGATATTTTGACCCCGGGGCGTGTCTTGCTCGCGTGAACTACGTGTCGGCCAGTCTCGCACGTAACATCACGGTGAGTGGCCTTTCTGTTCAATATGGAGTCTATTTGAAGGTCTGATTTTCATTACCACTTTAACCTTTCTTTTCCACCAATAATGAAAATATTCTAATATAAAATACGTCCAGGCTCTGAGGAAGGGGAAGTCGCCGAAACGTCAGCCATCAATCAATAACATCAAAAACAACTACAACGACAACGAAGATTTGCACCAACCTCGCGTCAGCTTAAGAAGATCAGTTTATAAGATCACATAAATAAACATAATAAACGTATCCGAGAAATATATATAAGCTATGGAAGACATAGAAATAAGGTCGTCCAAAATGCTTAATGAACAGGGAACGTACGTTTGAAATATGAGCGTATTGTCTTCTCCAACACTTTTGACGCAGTTGCCAGTTGGTCTGCGTTAAGTGAGCCAATCAAAGTGTTTAGCGACATAATAACCAGCGGAGATTCGAAATTTGCATCCAGATAAGCATTCCACGTTGTTACCAATGACTCTAAATCAGCAACTCTCCAAAATCAGAGTTTTCGATAACATTAGCTGATAGGTCAAAGAACAGTTCGAAGCTCACCTCCAAATTTAATATCCGAAATTCTACTCCAAAGTGCAGTCAGCTCTCGGGCGACAACGGAGAATGCACGTAAATTCTCTGAAACATCGAGTATCAAGATTTTAACTATTTATTTACTACCCAATAAAATTTTCATAGCAAGGAATTATGTGTGAAACAACCACAATGATGCTGATATTTGAAGAACTCCACACCGCAGGTATCCGCGGTGAGGATCGAACTCACTATTACCCTTTCCGGGGGCCACAGCGTTCACGACAACACCATACCAGTCCTTCTTTTCACCTGCTTCTTAGCTAGTTTTCTATCTACCAGTGCAATCAGCAATCACCCGCCAACGGGATTGATCTGCGAAGCACAAATTGGCTTTGAACCCAGTTAAGCTGAGGCAAAAGGTACAAACTATTGTTGAGGAAACCCCAGGTGACTATATTCGCTACTACTTTTATCAATGTTCAATCGATAGAGAAAAACACAAGCAGAACAAAGGTACGCGGCAAGAAAAATAGAATTCAATAAAGAACTAAACAAAAAGAATTGGAGATGTTCTAACGCACCATGTTGTTGAGCCACCGAGTTCACGTCGGCGATTAACGAGTTGTATGCAGGAGGTGCTGCAGCAGGACCTTCTCGCAGCACCAGTGAACATTGGGTTCGTAACCACATTGTTTGCTTCAATAAGGCCACCGATGTGAACGGCTCACGAACAATAAAGCAACAGATTTTCCGCCATATCCTAAAAACAAGGAACGAAGACAATATTTGAGCTGTAGATGAATTTTAGGCAAGAGTAAGTCATAACAAGCGATTCTGATCATTTTGGAATCACCTTGGAATTTTAGACTAAACATTTTCATGACACGTACTTCAGAAGCGCTAAATCAACAGCGTACGCCGAAAAAAGGTGCTGTTCCAATGGTGAAGCCACACAACGTGAAGTTTCGGTGTTAATACGTTGATGCTTAAATCGAAAAATAACTGGGAAAATGGCGCGAGTAGTGCACTTGTAAATGATGTCGTTTAGTAGACACAATGGACTGGCGTCTCCCGGCCAACCAAGCTTCTCATCCCTCCAGGATCAAGGAATGATGCCAGACTTGTCAAGGAAGCTTCCTTGCATCGATAGAGCTTAGGAATGTTCTAACACGTCTATCCCAGGATTTCAAGAAGAATCGGGTCCAAAAGCATTCATAAAGAAGAACAATAATTCTCAAGTAGCTTCCAAACCTACGCGTAAGATTGGAAAAACTTCATGGATGATAAAAACGAGAAGGCAAAGAAATGCTATGATATAAGACATCTCTAGTTCACAAAATTAGCAGAAATAGAATGAAAATCGCAGGAATCTGCATCACAACAATATTAAGTCGCTGCGATTCTTTAAAGCTGAGAAACAGAGCATTTCACGAAAAGAAAATCTTATACACAAAAACGTGATCAGAAAGACTAACAGTGTAAGCCCCGAAATAGATATGACCCAGAAGTTCGAAGTAGCAACCTGTTACACAACGAAGTCTTGGGTGATTTCAACTATTTTTTCAACGTTTTCCAAGGCTATACTGTTATGTTCGACCTCGGCTCAAACTCACCAAAGTTTCCATCTACCTGGTGTTGGAGAATTCGTATCAGACTTGTCTGGGATCAGTTCACTCCCTGCAATCCAAGTTTTGCAAAGCTTTAGCCCGGCTCTCCCAGGACCCCACGAACAATCAACTCGACCAGCATTCAACCACATTTGTGAAGAAAGCAATTTTCAAGTCACAGCCAAATTCACATGCGAAAAGCTCGAGACCTTCGTGGATGATTGATGTGAGGAGACGAATCTAATGCAAGAAGTGCTGGAATCCGCACTGCAGGTGTGAAGATAGATCGCGTAAAAAAAATGCTGACATTTGACCTCATCAGCACATGACTTAATACACAATGCCCTATATGCACTGAGTATAACGTGCTTGCTACGAAAACAATGGGCGCTTTCAATTATAAACCAACAAGTTTCAGACCATAGCGAATCTTGTTGGTTATAAAAAGGCCTTTAAAATTTGCAGACCCTTGTTACACGATGCAGTTTGGATTCTGATTTCTGTAAAACTATGCAACATCATTCTTTTGCGTCAGCACTCCAATTACAAAGACCAAAATGACTGAACAGACCAGATTTCGCAGACCAGGATTCCACGGTATCCTCAATGTATCCCTGGTTTTGTCTACTTGCAACCCACTCCGTGGAATTTTTAAGAATTTAAACTTTGCAATGTTAACCTCTTATTTACTGCCTACTATAATTTTTCACGGCAGGGTATGATGCGAAATATAGCCACAATGATGCTGAGATATTCGCTAAACTTGGACCCCGGGCCAGACCAAACCACGATTACCCTTTTCGGAGACCTGCGTATTACACACTTAACCACTAAGGCTCTTGCTTTGCGTTTCTCTTAGCTAGTTTTCTACTCTGCTGTTACTACTTCTCTACTTAAACTTTGCTTCCAAACCCCTCGAAGATTTTATCTTGAAACAAATTTAAACATGGAGTAACTCCTCTTCTACCTGATTTGAGAATTTCTCAACTTCTCAGATACTTCAATGGACGAGAAATTATCGTGATGTCGAAGAACAAACTTAAGGCTTTATATGTTGATGTAGACGAAGTGAATAATTAGCAGCTCGTAGGAAATAAAAAAAACGATAGGATACTTACATATGCAATACAACTACGACATCAGTAGGGTTCGTAAGTGAATCGTGAGGGAAGCAAACAGCCACAACCTTGGCCAATTCTTCAGCGTATTCTGGAGAGATAGTTGACCAATCACCACGTTCAGACAAGGATTTGACCAGATCAAGCAAGGAAGCACGGACCTTTAAAGCGAAAAGGTATCAGTCACTTCTCATAAAATTCTAAAATGAAGTAATTTACTTTGATGTAGTTTGAGGTATTGGCGCCAATACGTACTAAAACACTAAATAATGTTGAGAGATAGTGAGAAATCACTTCCTTTTCCACCTAAATTTGTATAAGACCAGGTAAAAACAGAAGATAAAGTAGACATATGACAAAAACGGACATAATGTGTGAGCACATCCTTCCAAAGAACGCGCACAACAACTTGCCCAATAAGAGAAGCACAATGTGGAGATCTCGTGGCGAGACATTCATCCATTGCAGAAAGACCTCGGTGCGAAGGATAGAAAGAAGACCACGGAATCCTCACAAAATGACTTTCCTGAGAACAAATCGATATACTCAGCACTGTTGTTCAGAATAACAGAAAAAATCTAACATATGTCGTTTTCTATCTTACAATTACAGAAAAGTAATGACTAGATCCATGTGACAACACTGACAATTTTTCGAAATAGAACTGCCAGACCAATGACGGCAAATTCTGAAAAGTTGAAATTTTGGAGTTTTATAGTTATGCACTTCTTGCAAATCGAATCTACAAACTTGAGTTCCAGGTTTCAGAGATGCATTATGTGGCAAGACTGTGAACAACTGTACGAGTCGATCAAGGACCAAATGAGCTTCTGTTTCATGGGAAGGTGAAAACGGGGGCAATGATGATGATACAGGAACAATTAAAGGTGAAAACACGTCTAGGATTTGTTGGAAAACCCTCGCAAAATCTAAAAACACTTCATTGTACAGATGGAGACCTGCACATCCTCATGAAACAACAAAAATTAGGATTGCCTTGCCTTTCTGGATAACGGTCGAAGGAGCATCAGATGGATAAGCTTCTCGTGTGGGAACGAACAGAAACAGCTGAGCCAGTTTAGTGACGCAGTCCATATAGCGCCCCCAGACAGCATATAATGATGTTAATCGAGATCGTCCGTCAACTAACTTTTGCGCTAAATGCAAAGCGCATTCGATGGCCTAAAAAATGTTTTACATCTAAAAAAATTGTCCTTCAGTGGCCAGGCTGTTATAACTACCAATGTATAAGACGTTGCATTAAAGTTCTAATACGTCAGCTAAGTCATTCTGCATCCTCTTGCGGAAAATAGGAACTTAACTTCTCATTGCTTAATGGATATTCAGCTTTCGGAAATTCGAAGTTCTCTGCTCCTAACCGTTCCACAAATATTTCCAGAAGCTGCAGAGGTGTCTCACCGGTGTTACAACCTTAAAACTGTAATAAAATTAAGGTAAAAAATCAGAATGGGAGCCGCATGCGCTTGATAAGGTGAGTTAACCTTATTAAGAAGGAAAAAACGACGACGTTAACATGTCAACTTACCATTCAAAGCGAGATCCAGGCCAGTTACAAAATTTGCGGGAAAAGCATGAAAAACAAATGTGACGGCGTGTTCTAAGCAAAGAATATGTAGAGGAGAATCCGACAAAGGATGGCTAGCCAGATTTCGAAAAGCCAAAGGAATTAGTGGCGCGAACTGTTGAGGAGGCAAAGATGCAGCAGCTTTGTCTATCCCTAGTCGTCCTAGAAAGTAGCAAAAAAACTCTTTGCTATTCTGATGTCATATTTGTAACCTATAGAAGAATTACTTACTTAAAAGCTTGAGCGCCCTATGACCTCGCTCTGGATCCCGCACAGCTTCGGAAAGACGCATGTATGCGCCACAAAGATCGGTAGAAGACAGACACTCAGGTGTGAAGGCCGAAAACAAATCAAGAGATTCGAATTTGAACTCATATAACTTTGAAGAAGTATGAGTAATGTACTGTGGTGGAAAATCACCTCAATCAAAACATCGCACAGTGGGAATCCTTCTAAAACAAGTGTCATAAGTGGAATCTGCTCATCGGGTTGCATGCGTATGAATCCCTAAAAATGCTATTCCCATACTATGACGCACCGTCATAAACAGACAGTTCACTCAAACAACTTCTCAAGTTCAGTTACCAAATTTTCAAAACGCATCGTTTCCACTTTTTTTGCTTCTAAGAATCCAAACAGTCACATAGGTTACCCTTGAAATAAAACTTTTAATTAGCATACGTGAGCCAACATGTGTAACGTGTATTCGTAAGCAGCAGTGGCTGCTGGAAAAAGCATCTCCACCCCGCCTAAGGACGACGTTATCGCCTTAAAAACAGATCTTCCACATATTTGACCACCTTGATCAAGCGTAGACAAATGCATGGCGCAGAAGTGAAGTAGTTGCCTGAAGTGCGAATAGTGCTTATATCTCTCACTAAAACCTCTTAAAATAGTTGAAATTGCCTTAAAACCCCAACATACCTTACAATATGTTCCATGCTCGCCGATGACACAGCCATTTTGTCAACAACACCAGAACGGAGTTCATTAAGTAAAGCGTTGCGTTTCTCCCGATTTTGAGCCATGAGGGCGTCACTCGTTTGGTTAAATTTTGTGCAGCTCACCTGTAATTTCATAAATGGAACAAGAAGAACATGAAACAATATGTGATTGCACATAAAAAACAAATTCCGCAATAAATGTATTACGCAGGAAATTAAACCTGGGTTGTAGTGTTTAGAGGGGATGTACACCGAATCCCACACCGCAGTTGAATAGGTACATGTTGAAGGACCGATATGTGCAATTTTATGACTAGGTTCCCGAATTCAGCGTCTTCTCGGGCCACGTTCTCTGCACCCGCTACGTATAACCTTAAGAAACATAAGCAATATTGCAGCAGTTGTATTGGTCAAAAAAGCAGCAGATGCAAAAATCAAGTGAAACTACTTGTATCAAGCATACGCCGTTTAAATTTTTCGTAACCAATACAAATCCGTTAAATTAAACTGCCTTTTAGCAGTAAAATTGATGTTAGACTGACATACTCAGATAATTTATGGATTTCTCTGATGGACTGATTTATTAATCCCGTGATGGAACTCGTTTGGAATAAAGCGGCTACTTCGACAACTGGTGCGGAAGGCAAACCAGAATGCGTCGGTAACACAGGAAATCCCACTGCGCGAGAACGACAAGTCCTGCAATGACGTAAGAGTATACCAGAGTAAACCACATTTCGTCATTCAAAATTGGGAAAAGTAATGGAACCTAAGTGCCGCCAAATACGCTCACTTGTTCGATAACTGATCAGATCCACGATGAATGAATTGATCTTTGGGCCCCATGTGACACGTCCCAGAAAAGAGCTAAACGGCAATATCATTTAGTTTATCGAGCATTTAAATTCTAAAATGCTGCAAATGAGTTAAAATCAAGAAATATAATAACTCCGGCTCGGAACTAATGATGCATTTGATAAAAAAAAGAAAGTAACTAAAAAAAGTACGCTAAACATACCTTTTCATCTTTTGACTCCTCTTGTAGCAACCTATCGCTGTCAATAAAATCCACCCAGACATTCTTAAAATATATAACTCTGGATGAATAGTGAAAACTATTGAAGAAATATATCACTAACTACAAACCGTTTCACCTGCCAATATGAGCTGCAAAAGGTAATCCAAGTCAAACACAGAGAAATCAAATCCTGACCTCGTGACCTCATAACTACAGAAAAGCCATCCACTCACAGCTTTCGCGAGTCTAAAATGAAAAAGATAGCGGATCATCGACTCGGATCAACGGCTCGGATAAAGATGAAGCTCGAAACCTTAGCCGAATAAAGCCTGTTTGTCTAATCTCGTGTAAACTTATCAAAAAAAAATATAGTTAGTTTTCTACATACTTCTAAGAAAAGTATTCACCCTTTAGGGTCATTTACTTCACTTAGTGTTTTCTTACATGGACCAAAAACTGATTCCGCCGTTGAAGAGTCCAGGAAACGACGAGCAAAGCAATATTTCCTCCTTAAATATACAATTGCGACAGTAAGATCACCTCCAAAAAGTCTCTAAATGTGAAAAGAAAAAAGAAAAACGACCTCACCCATGTACAGTTCTCAAACAATAGGACTCTAAAGCAAGACGCTGTAAAGCAAGAGGGAACACTGTGCTTTCCGAGGAAGCAGAAACGAACTCAGCCCATCTATATACCGCAAGCCTCCTTGGAGTCAACAAAATGGACGATTTCGAAGCAGCCTTCTGTGCAAAACGATGTCACGCAACCAATTTTAAAGAGTACAAAGACCTAGATCTGCTCACCTTGCAAGCTTCTTCCACAGTTAGCTTTTCCTTCATTATAAATGTTTCATACAAAAATTGATAGAAAGTTGGATAACTCCTGCTCTCCACCAAAAGAAGAAGATAAGTGGCCCATGGAGAAACACCGAACATTGAGTTCGAAATCAGCGTTGGTGGAGCTTGGTCCGAAGTGAACATCGAAAGGATGCCGTGTGAATTCTCTTTCCATGATTTTAACATTTGCTAAAGATTTTAAGACACTAAAGCGCTATAACAATGGATGGAAATAGTAGGCAGTACATAAAGAAAAGGGAAACATTTCAGATTCCAAATTTCATGCATTCCCCCACAATTTTTGAAAGGTACACACTTGACACTTGACACTTGAACGGCCCGCCCTCAGTGGTTGTGCGGGCCCCATCATAATCACCATTTATCGGAGATTTGCTGGTTAAGTCATTGTGGTTTCCTGGAACCTCGACCAGTGGATGAATCCCCCGCTCTATATCGCAGTCCGACACCTAGGAACACCTCCCAGCCACGATAAGGCGGCAAACCGTTGGGAGGAAAGGTACACTAAAGGTCGCCTCACTTGATTTGTTTTTATTTGTTTATGGAGGCATGCTATACTCGCCAAAAACATAATTATACACTAAAACTACGAATAAGGAGTCGTGTGGTTCAGTGGTCATACGCGCCCTGCAAGACACATGGGATCGATCCCCACGCCCCTGGTCCAGCAAGCCTTCCATTCTCCTGGGGTCGGTAAATTGGTACCAGCGTTGTCTGCGAGGATAGTAGAACTGGGTCGATACATCGGTACGATACTGCGAGTCATTGTGAAGGCCAGATTTGGACTCAATCACCTCTAAATAATGCATAATGAAATAAAGAGCATGGAGCATCTCTAAAGGAATGATCAATGCCGAGAGCTTTGTCCTTCATTACATCTACGAATGATAACATTACCTAACAAAATATAGAAAGAAATAAACCTGGTATAGACTGTAAACAATATCCGGAATTCCTAAAAAGTTATTGGTATCATTCATGAAGGCTATGTGCACAATTGATCCCAACAGTTGCAATGTGGTCTAAATATGACATTTAACAATTATCAAAATGCCTCCTAATTAAGTACTCAAAGAACGGCAATCATACGTAGTAAGAAGAGAAAGAAAATTGGAGGGAAAGAAAAGTAAAAAGAAGGAATCCTGAGCAAAAATTCCCGTACTTACGCTGTCGTTATTCCAAAGGGCTGGACGTCGTACGCAAAGCAAATCAACCCAAGCACGTAGATATTTTCCAACATCATGAACGTGTTTTGAATAATACTTGAAATAAAAACTTCGAAATGTAAACACTCATAAAAAGTCAAAAATCGAAATCGAAATTAAAATCAAGCAAAAAAATCAAAATTCAATAAAAAAAATCCATAGATGTTTGTCGAAAAGCGATTGAAGACTAGCAACAGGTATTAACTTTTTATTTGCCGCCTAATCGAAATTTTTACGGCATGGTATTACGTGAAATACAACCATGCTGATGCTGAAAGACAGACGAAACGAAGAACCCACATGGCGTGGTGGTGACCGCGTTAGCCCCCGGAAAGGGTAATAGCCCGTTCGTTCCCCACCGTTGACACCTGTGGCTCAGAGTTTTGCAAATATCTCAGCAACAGCGCTAACAGCAGGGTAATTAAACCATACTGATGATCAGATAGAACCAGATAACTCACCGACAGCGATGAGCAAATAAGACGAACGATCGGTGTAGGCACCAACGATGGCCCAGTCAGCCACTGAACTGCGTAGGAGCATTGATCAACGTGTAAGATACGCTCGAAGAGCTCCATAAATCTTAATGTCCATCAGCAAACAATATATGTTTGCATTCGAATGGTGATTAAGAAGACAAAAAACATAACAATGGACTACTTTCCAGAATTGTTAGTCTGACAAACCCAAAACTTCAAAAAAAAAAGCTAAACAATAGGTAGAAATTTAAACCCTTTTACAAAACTTTGACAAATTCCTCCAATGCACCTCTCTATTTTTTCGGCAACATTAACTTCACTTAGAGGGAAAACTGTTCATATATCCATCATAATTTTCGCATATTAAAACTGTTGTAACGAGCTTACGTTTCCTGAGAGCCGATAGATGATACTTCTCGATAGTGCCTCTCAACAAATCGTGCTAGCAATACAACTGATGCTGTTGAACAACCAGCACTAACCAACTCATTCATTAGTGGAACACCACGATCCATAAAAGTCGAGACACTATAATTGCACTGTAAACACTAAACGAAATTAGTAGAGCACGTTAATAGAAAAAGGATAAAGCTCTCAGCGTTGATCAATTCTTGAGGTATTCACCATGCATTCGACTTCACCAAGCATCGTTGGAGGTGAGAGAATGTATATCTGGCCTTTACAATGACTCGCAATGGCCTACCGGTGTATACAACCCCCAGATGCTATCTTCCCAGACAGGTTTGGTACCAGTTTGCCGACCCTAGGATGGATGGAAGAGTTGGTGAGCCTTGGGCGCAGAGATCGACTCCGCGTGTATTGCAGGTTGCCCCCGACCACAATGCTACGCGCACACCTACGGCGTGTTAACAACCACCAGTTGTTATTCAATCTCACCTTTCTAGACAGCTCTGACAAATATGGTTGAAAAATGCTGTCAGATCGCTTTGTGGTGCCTTCGCATTCTCCTTAAACCTTGTAGGAATTAATCTGAAGCAAAACTTCCACATGAAAACGTTGGTTCGCTACTGAGGAAAATACTATGGAAAAATGAAACAATATCGACATCACCTGTCCATCAAAGCGAAATGGTTTTTCATCAATAATATGAAAATTTTTTCATTCATGAAATTCTCATTCATTTCTTCGTTTCATTTTCGTTCATTTTTCATTCACGAAACTCGAAGGCATGAATTTTCTGATCACTGACAAACTGTCGCCAAGATTTTTCTCCTAAGGAAATCTCTCTCTTCACCCTTGTACGCGGCTAATCACACCCTTCTAATGTCACATCAGATTGGTGCTTACCAACTTATGTTTTCGGAAGCACACTATATTCACTGTCGTTATTTTAAGAAATTATGTAGCAATTAATCCTTAAAAAATTACTTCTTACATTCTCAATATCGAAGTTCTCGTCCTACGACAAATATTCAAATAAAACGCACCATCGAGCTTATCTTCAATTTGATTAAAATATCCCAACAAAACTGATTGAAGAGATGTTCATGATCGGCCATCCGACTAGCCAACTTCGAAACTTGTCGTATCGACTTTGCTATCATTCCGTTAGAGTTACCACAATGCATTGAGTGTGCCTAGTGTTGTCTAATAATTAATAAACCAACTATTTGCTTGTGAAACTTAACAATTAATGTCAGACGCATATTTTTATCCCATATCCGCTAATCTACTTCCGCCCTCGTTTGAAACAATTTTAGCGCTAATATGGAAACAAAAGGACACCACAGTACTTCTTACAAACAGTTATAAGGGATATCGCGAAACGAAGACACACCGTAGTACCCCCTTACCACTAACAGTCCCTGTGGTCCGATGGACAAAGTAGACCGGAGAAGTTTCTTTTGTATCATTGTATGGTCTATTATATGTCAACGCTCAGTCCAAAATTTGTTCAATAACCTGTCAACTTATAAGAAGAAATATAGAGAAAAAGCCCTCTGCATCAAAATAAGCAACGAAACGACTCCATCAAAAGTCATACTGGCCAGCCGTCTGAGCACAAAAAGCACACCATGCATGCGGTGAAGCAAGCAACGAGGGGTGACATGTATCACACCTATGAGTGGGAATAAACGCATTCAGACCTTAAGTTTTGCAAATAGGAGCCTAAAAGAGACGATAGTCCAGATTATTCTTAAAATTTGTTACCTACCTTCATTACAGTATCTGCACATATCTCATGTACCGATGGATCTAACCACAACTGATCTCCAGCTTCATTCATACCCCAGTAAACACTGGACATTATACGACGGGCCATACGGTTAGCAGCATCATCCGGAGGCTAAATTATGGGAAGAACGTAAAAATCATACCGTGTATAAAATCGGTAACACTGGTGATTTATTTCAAGTACTCACGTACCTTGTAAATAAGCCATTTCCCTAGTATGCTCAAAGACGATGGTGAAAGCTTACACTCACACAGATTAGAAGTAGTCAGGACATTGATAGCATACTAAAAAGTTCATCACTCAAAAGACACCCACAAAACAAATAAAACTGAAACCAGCTCACATTATCCATGTGCGACATATTCCGATCTAGAACTATTAGCAATTGATCGAATATGTTCGGCTTTCTCGATAGCAACAAAGCGACGGCTTCGCTTCCCACCTTATACAAACTCTCACGTGACGTCTCATCACAGAAGCAAATCTGAGATCTTTTAATAATTAGAAACCAAAACATGGGAAGCATCAATGAAATGGCTAAGGGGAGATTACCAAGCAGATCCACCCACCTCTACAATCTCTTTTACGAAATTGACGGGACCACCATGAGAATAAGACACGACTGCTGCAAGCGTATTGACAAGAAAAACGGAATCCAGAGGACCAATGGCTTCAGCCCTTTCTTTTAAACCACCTACAAATAGAAAGAGCAACACATAATCCAAGGCAGAACTGGGAACAATTTCCAGCTTTTCGCGAGTTGGCAACGAACCAGTTTCTAGAACACATTCTTAAAAACCACCTCTTCCATTCCTCGCAAGAAGTTCTGATAACGGAATGTCATAGAGTTCAGAAACCGTTATTTTCTCGACCGATCGAAGCAGATATTCACAACGACTACGACAGTCATCAGTGACACAATCAAATGGTAAATCAACAAGAAACTGCCACAGACCGAAACTGAGAACCATGGCATTAAGTGTGGGAAAAATGCTGTTATCATAATGAAAATGCAAAAACTCACCCAGGGCGATTAACAATGTATTGAAGAGCAAGGATCACTACACGATCCACCTCTCGCTGCAACTGGTCATCTTCCCCATTCCGTAACAAATTGCGAGTGAGCATCCAGAAATCACACAACTCTCGCACGCTTTGTCTAAATGCTCCGAAGGTTAAAGATGTTTGACCCAAACGCTATACAATAAAGCTTAACAAAGAGTACAACCCTAAAGTACCTTAACCCATTCCCTATTTGTTTACAGAAAAGCTTGTAAGTGGGAGAGCAATAAGTGGACAACCCGGTGTCGAGAACCTGCGATTAGCTTCTTAAATGAATACCAAACTTATATATCGAAATAAAAAAAAGGAAAAAAACCTTCATGAGCAGAAGTTGAAATGCAATCAATGATGCAAATTGATCCCGCTTTTCTGCGGCTAAATCATAAGCATTACAAAAGCAAACTAAAAGCAATATTAGGACACCATACCTGAATTTGAGAAACTAAGGTAAGCTAACGAATAAAGCTCGGATATAGGAAGTTGCTCAAAGAGGTTTGTTAGATCACATTCACTGATCGTAATTAGGGAAAAGTTGCCCTTAAATTACAGCGACGAAAGAACATGAGCTGTTTTCTTCAAAAATATAATAGCAAAAACCTCCTCGTCATCATCGCTAAGGATGGTCCATGTTGAATCTTCGGCTTCTGAAAGGCCGATCTGACGAAGAAACGAATCTCGCGCACTAGATTGTGAAAACAAGTCATGATAAAGAGAAATTGTTCAGTTTTGAACTATTAAAATGCAAGACAATGTATGAAATAATCACCATCAGAAACTATTCATTTTGAAGACACAATCGTTATTGAAGCTGTTATTGAAGACTTCTCCTACATTGTCTACATCTTCGTCAATATTTACTTATTGCCTACTGCTTTCTAATGGTTAACGTTAAGGTTAGGTTAAGGTTAAAGGTTGAAATAGGTTAAGTTAGGCTAAAACAAAAACCCATACCTTATCCTGTACCCTTACTCTTACTCTATACCCTCAACAACTTATAGGTTAAAACGTGACTGAGAAAAAGGCGAAACGGAGGACTCGTATGGCATAGTGGTGAACACGTTCGCCCCCGGAATGGGTAGTAGCGTGTTCTATCCTCACCGCAGGCACCTGCGCTCTGGAGTTTTGGAAATATCTCAGCAACATTATGGTTATATTGTCTACACTATTAACAACAATTCTATACTCTGGAAAACACAAAGAGATCTTCCTATTTTTGTCGAGCAAACGCGAGGTGTTACTATTCTTTGTTCACGATTAAGCTGACGTTTCGGCGGATTTCGCCTTCTTCAGAGCCTGGAAAGGTCAAGTTGATAGCAATCCACTCGGCCATACGCCTCCATAACCAAACAAAGAAACTCCAAACCAAGATTTCAATCACTTTGAACACAGCTTTGCACACTCACCGCTTTCTATGAGGTTTCCACTAAGTATGTCACGTAGAGACCAACCGCACAGAAATCACGTGGAAGTATAATGTGCCCCTCACATCAGAAAAGCAGTTTTATATACTGCCCTATATCACGCATGATAATGAGGCATTCTTCCCTGCGGTTCATTTTCGGATTTCTGGAATTAATCCAGAGTGCCTCGAAAGTTTTTCGCGCCTGTTCTTGATTCGCGTGCGAAGAGGGTTGGCAATGGGACAACGACTGGCTCCAAGCCTTGCCATTGCATTTATGTCTAAGGTGGAAGCACCGGTGACTGATCTCGGGCCGCTACTCTACTGTAGGCATGTAGACGACTGCTTTGTCCTTTGCTCAACACAAGAGGAAATGGACAAATGCTTCGAATTGTTAAACGCACAGTCAGAGTATACNGACGTCTTCGTCTTCCTCAGAGAAAAATATCAAGTTCACCCGAGAAAAGCCGAAAGAAAAATGGCTTCCATTTTTGAACGTACAAATTCACCTATCAGAAAATGGCTACATTACAAAGTGGTACCGAAAGCCAAGTAGTAAAAATATCCTGGTTCATTACCTCTCCTCTCACCCCTCTCACACGAAAAGGGCGCTTATAAGAAACATGTTTCGAACAGCAACCAACGTGTGCACGGGAAGAGAGCAGAGAGAGGAGTCCCGGAACTTGGCACAGCAAATAGCCATTTCTAATGGCTACGAAACTGTAGCTCAGGATAGGTGTAGAGGAAATCGTAGGCCTCCAAACGACAACTCTAGCGATAGAAGGGTCCCGTTTATCCTACCCTTCATCTCAAATGATATAAGTACAGCTATAAAACGCTGCTTAAGAAGGGCGGGTTTAGAGAATTCGGTACGCGTAGTTGAAATACCACCGAGTAATCTTAAGCGCCAGCTAGTTCGTAACCGCCTATATGACCGTCTATGTGCAACTCAAAATTGCATAATTTGCCCCAGTGGTAGAGACGGTGATTGCATGAGCTCGGGTATAGTTTATCTGATCTCCTGTAAGACGTGTGGTGACGAATACATTGGCGAAACGGGTAGACTCCTCTGTGTCCGCATGAAAGAACACCTAGCCGGCAAAAATAGACCAAATACCCCGCTAGGCACGCATAGGACCCAGAGACATAACGGGGACGACTTCGAAGTATGTGTCACGACCCTCGCACGCGAATCAAGAACACAGGGGCGAAAAATTCTCGAGGCACTCTGGATTAATTCCAGAAATCCAAAAATGAACCGCAGGGAAGAATGCCTCATTATCACGCGTGATATAGGGCAGTATATAAAACTGCTTTTCTGATATGAGGGGCACATTATACTTCCACGTGATTTCTGTGCGGTTGGTCTCTACGTGACATACATAGTGGAAACCTCATAGAAAGCGGTGAGTGTGCAAAGCTGTGTTCAAAGTGATTGAAATCTTGGTTTGGAGTTTCTTTGTTTGGTTATGGAGGCGTTTGGCCGAGTGAGTTGCTATAAACTTGACCTTTCCAGGCTCTGAAGAAGGCGAAATCCGCCGAAACGTCAGCTTAATCGTGAACAAAGAATAGTAGAATAGTCGCGTTTGCTCAACAAAAATACGAAGAAAATCACTTGATCAATGCCGAGGTTAATAGAAAGTCGGTCGTGGCAGTTACAAAGAGATCTGTCTGAAGTGGTTTATGTGAATGCACGAGTTTGTAAACAATATTTTCACCTCCTCACGTAAGGAGTCAAATAAAAAGTAAAGCTAAGAACGAAGACGGGTCACTAAAGGAACTCACGTAATTGGGTTAAGCAAATGTGAAAGCATCGTGATGCAGTGATCAAGCTTTACTTTTGGGTGGGAAGGTGCCTGTAATGCTTAGCAAGATTTCTCAGCAAATACCACACTAAATGCAGAACCACACTTGACTCTCCTAGCTTTTAATTTGCCAACAGCACAATCCAATCCTGCCCAAGTTTGTTCATAAGTTGAAAACCAAACCATTATACTATATAAAATGATTTTCTTCGTATTTCCGTTGAGCAAACGCGAGGTGTTACTATTCTTTGTTCACGATTAAGCTGACGTTTCGGCGGATTTCGCCTTCTTCAGAGCCTGGAAAGGTCAAGTTGATAGCAATCCACTCGGCCATACGCCTCCATAACCAAACAAAGAAACTCCAAACCAAGATTTCAATC